TACTTATATATGTATGAGATCGGCAATCATCTATTTATATATATATTAGATCGGTGATCATCTACTTATATATATATTAGATTGGCAATCATTAGCTTATATATATATAAGATTGACAATCATCTACTTATATATATATATGAGATTAGCAATCAGTAACTTATATATATATCAGATTAATGATTATTGACTTATATATATATCAGATTGGCGATCATTGACTTATATATATACCAGATTGATAATCATTAGCTTGTATATATATGAAATTGGTTGTCATCTTCTTATATATGTATGAGATCGGCAATCATCTACTAATATATATATTAGATCGACAATCATTGGCTTATATATATATAAGATTGGCAATGATTGGCTTATATATATATAAGATTGGCAATGATTGGCTTATATATATATAAGATTGGCAATAATTGGCTTATATATATATTAGATTGACAATTATTGGTTTATATATGTATGATATTAACTAATATTCACTTATATATATATCAGATCAGCTGTTATCAGCTTATGTAATCTTGCATAATCTTGCATAATCTTGCATAATCTTGTATAGTTGTATAGAAACACATATAAAAAATATAACAGAAGAAAGTTTGTGTAACATATTTCATTATGCATATTTGCGTAACATAAATAATACAAATGCATTACTGAAAAAAATTGGCAACTTTTGGCTATACTTGTTATATAACGTGCATAATTATGCATAATCTCGCATAAATGATCTACATAAACAATATAGCTGAATTCGTGGGAAAAAATGCTAAAGAATAGCTTTTTTCCGGAAAAATTTCCTTTTTTGGTTAGTTTCAATATAATTAGCATGAGAAGTCTTGGCATTTTTAGTGTGGGAAGATAGATTATATAAATAGCAACTATGTAAAAGCTTGGCATGGAAAAACATTTAACCTTAAACTATCAAAAAGCCGTTCCGACAATAATTAAATATATCTCTTCTAATGAAAGTTCAAATTCTTACTAAGTAATAATTTTTTAATTTTTTTTGCTATATAAAGAAAATTGAGTAGTATAATATAAAAGTATCAAAATATGTAAAGAGCAAATACAGAATTAATAAAAATTAATTTTCATATTTTTTTACTAATTTTCTTATAAAAATCAAAATATTATTATGTAGATCAATAAAAAAATATATAAATAAGTCAACTTATTAATATTTATTATAATTTTGATATATTTATATATTATATATATATATATAAAGATTATAAAAGAGTTGTAAATATATATAAAATTAAAGATTAAATATGATTAGAGTATGTAACTTATATTTGACGAGATGATTGGATATGACTTGGATATTGGCAAGTGTGAATAAATATAATGTGATAGATCCAATGGTATTGACTAATATCAGAGATAGATAAGATGTTATAGGCTAATATTAGTAATAAATCAAATGTTATTGGCTAATATTGATTGTATATTACATTTTATTAACTTATATAAGTTGTAAATTGGATGTGATAAATATATATATATAATACAGATTAACTGTTATTGATTTATATATATATCAGATCAGATATCATTTATTTATATATATACTAGATTGATAGTATTCAGCTTATATATATATCAGATTGGCTGTGATCCACTTATATATATATCAGACTGGATATCATATGTTTATATATAGTGCAAATCACCTGTCATCAACTTATATATATATCCAATTGGCAGACAACAGCTTATATATATATACCCAATTGGCAGTCAACAGCTTATATATATATACCCAATTGGCAGTCAACAGCTTATATATATACCAAATTGACTATCATCAGCTTATATATATACAAGATCGACTATGATCAGCTTATATATATATCAGATTGACTGTGATCCACTTATATGTATATCAGATTGGATATCCTATGTTTATATATAGTACAGATTACCTGTCATCAGCTTATATATATACCCAATTAGCAGACAACAGCTTATATATATATCAGATCGACTATCATCAGCTTATATATATATCAGATTAACTGTGATCCACTTACATATATATCAGATTGGATATCATATGTTTATATATAGTGTATATTTTCTGTCATCAGCTTATATATATACCAGATTAACTATCATCAGCTTATATATATATCAGATTAGCTGTGATCTACTTATATATATATCAGATTAGCTGTGATCTACTTATATATATATGACATAGATTGTCAATAGCTTATATACATATAAGATTGACTGTTAATAACTTATATATACCAGATTAGTAGTTAACAGCTTATATATGCCAGATTGAGTATCATATGTTTATATATAGTGTGGATCACCTGTTATCAGCTTATATATATACTCAATTGGCGGTCAACAGCTTATATATATATCAGATCAACTATCAACAGCTTATATATATATATCAGATCAACTATCATTAGCTTATATATATATCTGATTGGTGACTAACAACTTATATATATATCAGATTGACTGTTATCTACTTATACATATATAAAATTGACTGTTATCTACTTGTATATATATGAGCTTAACTGTAATTAGATTATATATATATCAGATTGACTATCATCAGCTTATATATATATATATCAGATTGATTATCATCAGCTTATATATATATATCAGATTGATTATCATCAGCTTATATATATATATCAGATTTACAATCATCTGCTTATATATATATGAGATCGGCGATCATCTGCTTATATATGTATGAGATTGGCAATCATCTACTTATATATATACCAGATTGGCAATCATCTACTTATATATATATATGAGATCAGTAACTATTGACTTTTATATATATCAGATTGATGATCATTGACTTATATATATATGTATATATGAAATCAGCAATTATTGACTTATATATATACCAGATTGGCAATTATCTACTTATATATATATGAGATCAGAGATCATTGACTTACACTGGAAAAATAACAATAAATACACACCGGGAAATTCAGGTATACTATTGTGAATATTCCGCATTTTACAGTGGGGTTTTGCCTATTTCCACTGGTACCAAAGCTGATCTGGTTACATGTGCACAGACCTGCAATCTACAAATGTAAAGTTCGATAGCACTAGTGAAGTTGGGGTCAATAGTAATTTTATATCTTTGTATATAATAGAGTACCAAGAAAACTTCATTTCAAACTTTGTTTTTTTGCTGTAATACAATCTGTTTCCATGTTAAAGGTTAATAATCAGGGACTACGTTGCATGTGTATTGTTGAACTATCCCTGGGTGAATAGTTAGAACCATAGACATTTTATTGCTATAAGCCAATCATTAACACTCTTTATTATGAGGTCATAGATTATCTGCTCCCCCAATTACTTGATATTCAATTATTATTGGTTTGAATTATAGTTTATTTTTGTATTTATTAGAAAAAATAGAATGATTCTAGGTTGATAGTATTGGAATAATATTATATGCCTCAGGCCGTCTTCACCGGTATCCTTCATATGACTCAAATCAAGCAGTGCTTTATATATAATGTTTGTAAACCCTCATATTCAGTAGTTATCTTTGGCACAGATACTATTTAACATAATAGAAGAGAAGTTAGATGTGTATTTAAATATTTACATGTTGTGAGTGATATATTAATTTGAGGATACATATAATATAATGACTGAAGAAGATAAAAATAAAACTTTGAGAGTTCGAGGCATGGCGTCAAGTATAATTTCTTTAACAATGAAAATAATATAGAGAAGTTAGTTTGAGTGAATTGGGTGACAGAATATGTAATGAACGTACCCAAAGAAAGTCAATTTATTTGTAGACCTAGATAGTACTTGTCAAGAGTTGATATAACCTTTAGTAAAAAACATATATTAATATACAGTATAAATAATACTATCATACATATTAAGAGAATAAAAGAAGAAGTCTTAACATGTCAATGATGGTGCCAAGAGATAGAGGTTCTTGATTCATTGCGTGTTTGGCAGATGAACATTCATCTGTAATAAAAATTATATTCTGTCAGATAAATATTAAAAGTAAATAAAAAATAAAATATTACCGTGTTGATGGTCTTGTTTAATTGTAGAGAATATTTTTGGCAATATTGTCTATAAAAAAGAAGGAGAAAAGTCAGAATAATTTTATATGATGATGACATGAAGTATAGTTACTAACCTGGACTAATCCGGATGGCCATTGTAAAGAGAATACATCAGAAGGAAAAAACACGCTAGTATCTATGACAACTGAAATAATAATTATTATTTAGTTACATTTGATGAAAAGAATTGCTTTAAAAAAAAAGAAGATATGTTACCAAAAAAGTTTGCGAATATAGTAAAACACTAAGAGAGTATATATGTATCTATGACAACAGAATGTGTTAATCTTGTTGTTGTCTGTACAGAAGTATTTTTAAGAAGAATGTATCTTACCAGTAAAATTCACAGTTATAACAAAAATCAGAAAGAGAAAGAAAAGAAAAGAAAATGGTCGGTAAGGAAAAATATGGAAAAATATGGAAAAATAAAAAAAATAAGTAAATAAAATACAAAAAAAACAAAATAGGTAATTAAAAAAAATGAAACTCAAAAAAAATATCCAAAAAGCATAATAGATATAATGATGTAGTATCTAAAAGCAATCTTTGTATCAATTTACACAGTGTGTGTACAAGAAGTTACTTTAGATATATTCTTTTAACCAAGATCAATCAAGACTAGACATCCTTTTTTTTGGAAATATAAATATACGTTTTTGCTACAATCTTACTCACCCTTGCTCATGCACTCTTACAATTATTCTTACTTATACTCATACTTTCTCTCTCTATCTTCCCATCTTTTTCTGTCTTTTATTTTGGTATGTTTGATAATAAATATAATTGTAGTGTATAATAGAAATTTATTCAAAGAATATAAAAGCATTAACAGTTAATACATATTTGAACTTATATTTTTTAAATTAATAGAATATGTCTAACCAAAATGAAAGCTATCTCACTCGACGCACTCCTGCTGAGAGAGAGATGACAAACTCTCTTGCCATCTTGCATCGTGACATGACCACTGTCATGAAAGACGTTGCTGATATCAAAGCAAAAACTTCAAACACTCCTGTGTCTGCTGTTTTGCAGAGTCAGCCGATGGCTTTAGTGCATGCTGTTGCTCCTGTGAGCATGGAAATGAATGTAGCTGGTTCTCCCACCATGGCTTCTGATGCAAAATCAGTCAACAAAACAAAAGCCTATGTATGTATCATACATATAGTAAGTTATATCTTTAATAACTTACCAAGATTCAATAGAGACTTCTTCGGGAGCATTTGTGAGACCCTAAGTTCAAGTCAAATCATTTGGCTGAAATTCAAGCCAACAATGGCAAGCCAAGGTGGAACACGGCTGTCAACTTCAACCAGTCGCCAAACACTGAGCTGACAGAAAACCTCGTTGCCTACTTGGAAAGAAATTTAGTAGGAGCAGGACTGAGAAAAAGTGATGTTTGTGACTTTGTCTACACGAACTTCACTAGCAGAAAGCGTGCAGCTAATAAGTCTCAGGCTAAAAAGAAGTCAGACAATGCTCGCAACAGAAGGAGTAGCCGCGAAAAGGAGGTAAGTTATACTTTATTAAATTTATTATTTGAATAATTCTTATCTAAGTCATTAATTTAAAGCAAAAAAAGAAAACTAATTTAATATTTTCAACAGCACTTGAAACGTCGCAAAACAGCGTACCAGTCTAACAAGCACTGCAAAAACAGATCAATTTCGCATATGTAAAGTATACCTAAGTTCTGATAGACAGAATAGGTAAAATTGTAGTTCAGCTCACTTTTGTGAGTAAAGTATTTGAATAGTATTTTAAGCTACTCTATTGGCTACTGGCAGCTGTGTAGCATTAGAATGCAACATCAAACTCAAATAAAATAAAAGTGTGTTTTCTTTGAAGTCTCTTTCTTTACTATTAAATACTATTGTAAACCTTTCTTTTCATTTTAAAATGGCTCCTATTCGTAAACCAACTGTTAGAAAAGAGTGTTGCTGCTCTATCTGTAAAAGCAAGACACTAGAATTCGATCGTGTATCTGTTAAAACATTTAAACGTCATCAAGAAAAAGATAATCATGATATTACACATGTTCAAACGCGTACGGTTAATACATTTGCTTTACTTTACTTTATTTTATTTTATTTTATATCATTTCCTTTTTTATTATTTTATATAATAATAATAATAATAATAATATTAACACTAATAATAATAAATGTGTAGCCCATGAAGACACATGCGATACAATTAGTAGTGCTGTTTCTGAGCCTGTAAATCAAGAGGAAGATAGTTTTGAATTTGAACAGGAAGATGTTGAAATGAATTCTGAGCTTAGAAGTAAGAAAACTTGTTTTATTACATTGATTTATTTGGGTCTAACATTCCGCTTTTGTAGACCTAAATGACACAAATGACATTTTGGATATACGGACAAGAAACCAACCTTTCTCTGAAACGGATTGCGTGTTTGGCCCTGAAGATAATGTCCAGTATACAAGTGACACTTACAAAGAAGAATATGAAGATGAATCCGATGTTGAGATGGACAATGATGAAGGTAGGTACACAGCTTTAGATAATATTATATTCTAGAAAATAGAGAGTTAATCAACGTTCTTTAAAAAAAATCAAATTAAAGATTCTTCATTGGAATCAATCTCGGAATTGAATTTGATTCACCGATTCATTGTTATTTCGGTTGCTCTTTTTGTCTCGCTATACGTTGTGGATGAAGGAGCTGTAATCCTGATTGCCATAATCAACAAGATACTGCAGTTTTTGTTTGACCCATTCCGCCTTCCAGTGAGTGTTGCTGGCCTCAAACGTTTGGCCGGATTTGAAGCATTGACAAGTGGTGTCAAGAAGTATGTTGCATGTAGCGAATGCCATGCCATATATGATAATGAAGCCGCCCCTTTGTGTTGTACATCACCCAATTTTGGTAAAACCTCCTTGTGTGGCAACAGCTTGTTTAAGTCTGGTCCTGGGTCAAAAGCACCCAAAAAGACATATGTATTCCACTCCGTCAAGAAAGCCCTAAAGACGTTCTTTCAACGCCCGGATTTTGAAAACAACATCAACTCATGGAACCGCGGCCCAAAAATGGATAGCACTTTGTTTGACGTGTACGATGGTGCGATGTGGAATGAGATAGTAGACGTAGATGGTATACCTTTTGTTGATACCGAGCGATCACTCATGCTCACGCTGAACATTGACTGGTTTCAGCCATTCGATGATGTTACCTACTCCTGTGGTGCCATATATCTTGCAATCAATAATCTTCCATGCAGTGAGCAGTTCAAGAAGGAGAACGTGATTCTTGTTGGGTTAATGCCAGGGCCTAAAGAAGCAAGCACTTCTGACATAAATAACTATCTGAAACTGCTTGTGGATGAGTTGATGGAGCTGTACAAAGGTATTAAGATTAAGACTCACCAATGTCCAAATAGTACTTCTATCCGAGCAGCCCTTCTCATGGTTGCCTGTGATATACCTGCTGCAAGGAAAGTATGTGGGTTCACATCCCATACAAGTACAAATGCATGCCACAAGTGTAAGCGTCAATTTTCGAGGTTGGCTGGAACGAGTTCCGTTGATTATTCTGGATTTGATTTCTCAAAGTGGCTCCTTCGCACTAAGAATGCCAATCGTAAGGATGCAGAGATCTGGAGAAATGCAACCAAACCAACTGAGAGACAGCGTCTTGAAGTTGCACATGGTGTTTGCTGGTCCGAACTGCATCGTCTTCAGTACTTTGACATTGTCCGCTGCACGATCATTGATCCCATGCACAATCTTTTCTTAGGCACTGCCAAAAGAATGCTGGAGAGATGGGTTGCGGATGGATTAATCGATGATAAAAAACTCGTTGCCATGCAAAAGGCTGTTGAGAAGGTAGTGTTGCTGCCCAATTACACGTCACTTGGGACAAAGATTGCCAAGGGATTTCCCTATATGAAGGCTGATGAGTGGAAGTCTTGGTGCCTTGTGTACTCTCCTGTGGTTCTAAGGGATGTGTTGCCGTTGCCAGAGTTCAATAACTGGATAGAGTTTGTTAACGCATGCAGATACTTCACCAAGCCTAGTGTTTCTGAAGAAGACATTGAGAAAGGACACAAATGCTTAGAAGAATTCTGTAAAGGGTGTGAGACATTGTACGACCTGGACCTTCTCTCTCCCAACATGCACCTGCATCTGCACTTACGCCAAACAATGATTGACTTTGGGCCCGTCTATGGCTATTGGCTTTTCAGCTTTGAAAGGTACAATAGTGTCCTGAAAAATATCAAGACCAATTGAAGAAACGGGTTCGAATCGACATTTATGAGACAGTTTATTGAAGAGTCGTGGAAGGGAGATTTTGTGCGTCAACTTCTGAAACCTATGCATGCACTTGCATGTTTTGAAATTTTCGATAAGTTCACCACCAACAACAACAACACCAACACCAACACTAACACCAACACCAACACCAACACCTACCTCTCTCACTCTTTCTCAATTTCTGAATATCTTGAAGCTTCACAGAATCTTTCAATGATAATTCGTGGAAATGAGCCCCTGCCACTATCCGCCTTGCCATTGAAAACAAGACCATTATCATTTATGCCAAAACATGAATATGATTGTCTTGTAGGATACTATCAAGCTGCATACAAGAATACACAGATCTCAGGTTGCAAAGATGTAATTGATGACTCACCTTTCGTCAATGACTGGATCGAAATGGTGAAGTCCGTTGATCTTCTTGAGCAAAGCTACAAAGGGTGCATTGGCACAAATGGCCGCGGATCATATATACAAGCATATTTCACTGAACGAACTGGGTTGGAACATGCGTATGTTGGAGAGATTCAGTACCTTTTTGTTCACAATTTTAGGCCAACTGTTTCTTCTCTAACATACAGAAATCCCCATAGTAGTCAGCATGTATTTGCATTTGTCAAATGGTTCAAATCCACTTCGGACAAAACAAGAGAATTAGAAGGAGTTGAGTTGTTACAGGATGAATTCTACAAGCAAGATTTTCAAAGCATCCTGCCAGTACATCGGATTCTCCTAACAGTTGCAATAGTAGATTATAAAACTACAAAAAACGTCAACAAAAAACTCGCGATTCCTTTACCAAAAAAAATTTACTATTAATTCTCATACACACACTTACTTATATATTTATCCTCTATTATTATTTCCTTTAATCAATTCAATTTCAATTATTACTATTTGGCCCTACAACAGAACATAGTAAAAAAGAAAATGTTTATTCATCGTTGATTGCCCAACAAGGCAATGACTGGGACAGAGTGGCAGGAACAGAGCAAGGCAACAATGTTGCTGGATATCTGTTCATTCTTGGCTTTGTTCCCACGCCCGCATTTAACATGTGATGGGTACGATCAATGTCGTCAACCATTGTCAATAATCTGTTGAACTGTATTTATTTTTATTAGTTCTTTATTTTTCTTGTTATAAAACTTATTTATTTATTCTAAATATTATTTACCTCTTCACTTCTCCAAGTGGGGCGAGCCACATGCAAACACCGTCGTGGAAGATTGTCCACAATCTCAATATCCGACTCACCATCAGACATGGCATCCTTCTGAAAGAGTTTGAGATAGGCCTTCTCAACAGGGTTTCCAGTCTTATATCCCATTGCAGCATCAATGGCTACCCAGTTGTCCATGTATGTCGACTTGCGTCAGATAGACATCTGGTTATATAGATTGTAGCTTGAGAAAATAGTAATATACCAATTAATTTTTTATATAGTATATACAAGCCTGAAGAGTACGACTGTTTGCTCTCCCCTTGCTGTTTTTCTTGGCCTTCTGCTCAGAAGACTCGTGAAAAGTACAATGACTGTGCTTGTACCTGTTCTTTATTTTATCACTTATCACCTGTGGGTGAGTACCAGCTAGACGAGTCTGGGCGCTAATGTAGCTCTTCAAGTAGTTGATAACAGCTATGTTATCGCGGTGGTTAATCTTCTCATTCAAGTTCCACTTCTTCTTACTCTCGTTCTCAGCAACAAGAGCAGGGTTGTCAGACTCGAACTTCCAGTCCCACAACTTTTCTGCGAAGATTTCCTAAATACAGGTTGTTTATTAAGTTGTTGATACTAACATATATTAATATTAATTACCGAGATAATGACAGAAACCTTGGCATCACTGAGTGAGGTCTGGGGGACATAGGATGGCATCAGAGATGGTCCTAGACTAGCCATACGAGTCTGATCGTTGGCATAGGCAGTTGCAAAGTCTGCAAATGCCGTATGTGTCTTTCCAGACGTGTCAACAACAACGCCCATCCTGTTTTTAAAGGCTGCCATGTTGCTATTGACAGCAGCAATGTCATCCTTGACACTGTTGATGTTGTTGTTTACTTTGTTAAACATTTCAACAATTTCCGCGTATTGCTGATCTTGGATAGTTGCGGATGAGAAACTGGGGGCAATTTCTCGAGGTCCAACACGGCCAGCCAAAACACAGTTTGCAGAGGTAAATATACTTGCAGATGCTTTTCCTTTTCCTTTACAGTCTGTTTTTCTGCTGCTATTGGAAGGCATTTTTTCTTTATTGTATTTTTATTAAAGTTTTATACATTAATAAATTATTAAAATAAAATAAATGTATAGGTTGAAATATATTTATTTTTGTTTAATCAAAGATATACATACAAAATAAGTTAATATAAAGTAGATTTATGAAATAGCTGAGAAAAGGAAGGGATTATATATTATTTTCTATAAAATCCTTTATAACCTTGAATAACTTCTTTAATATTCAACATAGAACTTAGTGTTACAATATAATTTCGGACTATTCATTTTATTACTATTGTATTTTACTAGAGTCAATTCTCATCTAAACTGCCTTCTGTTTGAAAGCCCACTTTTTTTTCTTTTTTTTCTTTATTTTTTTCTTATTTCTTTTTTTCCTGTTTCTTTTCTGCTTTATTTACTTTTATTCTGGTTGATGTATTTGAGTTCACACCCTGGTAAGCAATTTGTTTTTATTATTCTACTGTTATATTTATTCTTAATGTTTTTTCTTTTATTATTATTATGGTTGCTGATAGTATTACAAGTCTTTGCCATGTTGATTAATGGACAAGAACAAAAAGGTAAAACGCGGTTATTGTGTATGTGCTTCTTTATTAATTATTTTCTTTTTCTCTCCTCAGCTCATCATAAAGACATACCAACAGCAGAAATTTATCTGGTAAGTCTGAATAATGTATTTATTTGTTTTATTCTTATATCTAATTTTGTTTATTTTCTATCTCTGTTAGTACTGCCAACATTTCTATGTACCTGATTGAATGGCTTGTCTTTGAAAACCGGTTTTCTTTGGTAAGTAATAAAGCCAAACTTTATTCCATGATCTTTACTAATGCGTTTTATTAAACCTTTCAGAACAACAGTCAATGTGCACTATGCCTGGTTCTGACGAAAGTACTGGTAAGTAACCATATTATTTAAATTAAAGAAAAATAAATATTTATATAATCTAATATAATTGAATAATTTTTTAGCCTTCTCTTACTAGTGAAATACTGTAAACACGCGTTTCTTTTTAGGATTCTATCGTATTGGAAGTATTTATATATTATAATATATGAAAGGGTTTGTTATTATATTAATTATGTAGTAGCTTATATATTAGATTAGACTATATATTGTCAAGCCGTACATATTATAAGCAAGAAGCTTTTTTTTTTTAATAAAAACAATTTTTCCAAAACAATCCCTATAAAAATATTTGAAATGAAGTGCAAGAAGTATTGCAGTAGCATGGCATGTGTGAATCCTATAGTTTAGCCGTGCATAATTGTCCAATAAAAGTGTTTAGATTCGGAAGACAGTATACATAAATCCTGTTTCTTCTGTTAAATGATCCAATAGAATATCATTATTTCAGTAGACAGTTTTCTCTGTAAAGTAATCCAATAGAATTCTACTATTTCAGTAGACAGTTTTCTATCAAAAATAGATTTTTTATTGGAATCTCTGTTTCAAATCAAGTTTAATTTAATGTAACATCCAAAAAAAAAAGATGCCATAATTTGATTATTCTCTCTGCGATTAAATAGTTTAAAAGAACCTTACATCTCTATATGGATCATTATAAGTTCAGAAGTTATATGGACAACTCACAGGTAACATAACATATTGCGAATGGAATCTATAAATGCCAAATTCCAGAATTTAATTATTCTGTCACTCAGAATTTCCCATACTATCGCATATGTGTAGAAATCTAATTCCCCAGTGAAGACTGCTATTGATGACGAGATGAAAAGAGATTGCTCTGGTCTCATTATAGAAGAGGCTATGTCTGTTGGTGAGTCAGACGATGGCACTTCGCCTCATGTTTCTTATAGTGGGCTTTGTCTTCGTCGTCCAGGTTGGAGAAGTGATGAGGTACTTAGTTTTTTGAAAGTTGAAATATTTAATTTAGTTAATATATTATATTGTATTATACTGAATAAAATATTAATGTCTTTAATATAATACAACCACTTCATCACACTTGTTGACAACAAAGTGGTAGCTGATTTAGGCTTAAGTAGCCATCAATTGCTGTCATGTGCTTTTGGCGAAACCGTTGAAGGACCAGTCCCTGATGTAATTGCGTCACAGTTTCCTCAGTGGGCTCTTAGAAACGAACCCTAAATAAAGTTTATATTTTTTGTTCTTTTTTTCTTCATTCATAACGTCCTATACTTTAAATAACCAAAAAAATGCATAAAGAGGCATTACTTGTTCTTTGTTTTTTATTTAATTATTCTCATAAAAAAATCATAATGTATATTTATTCATAAAGGCTTCAAGCATAGTATTTTTTTGGCATAGGAATGACCAGCATTCTTTCTTCGTTCATATCAGTTACATCTACAGCAGTTGCAACCTCTAAGTGTATGTGATGTACAGGCAAGATGCTGTGATAATTATCAGCAGAGAATTCTGGCAAGCAGATTGCAATACCTTCATTTCTGTGTTCATTGTCATTTGTCAAATTATACCATCGGATGTATGCAAAAACATGCTGGTCTTGATGTAATGTTGATGCTCGGTGGTTTGGATGAGGAGGCAGAGTAAATGAATGTATAAAAAGATACTGAATTTGTCCGGTATATAGGCTTGAAGTTCGGCCATTGCTGCTACGGAAGAAAGCTTGAACGAGTGACCCGCGCTTACCAGAACTGTTGTTCCCAATATATGTTTGGCCAAGGAGATCAATTGATTTCAATTTTGTGATTCGGTTATTTACAAAATATTGTGACAATCTGGCATCGTGGTAAGAAATGAGATTGGGCATGGCATAGGCGATTTTATAATAATCTAACAATTGAGGATAATCAATATCACTCATTGTTGATTCTTTTAAGGACTGTAAAGGAAAGGTGGATGGGGGGAGTGGTTCATTGCCTTTGATAGGTGCTGCTCGACTTAAGGATGAGTCTACAAATTGTTGCAGTCGGAAAGGTTGTTGGTTGGTTGGAGCATAAGTGGCATAGGTCGTTATAGGTGCGGTCGTAGAGGTAAGTTTTTCGAAAAGAGAAAGGAATGGAATGAGGCTTGGACATGATAACGTATTTCGTACGTAATCAGCTTTGTATGCGTCTGCAGTGAATTTTGTCATATAGGTTGTTTCAAACCCGTCTTTTCTGTTTGTCTTGTTATTCTTTAACAAACTATTGTATCTCTCAAAACCAAAGAGCCAATAGCCATACACGGGTCCAAAATCACGAATTGTGTCATGAAGATGGAGGTGCAGATGCATGTTGCAGGTGAGGACTTTTGGTTCATATGTATCTTCACAAGATTGACAGAATTCTTGTAGATATCTGTGTGCTTGGTCTATTTCGATGAAACTGATTGACGGCTTTACAAGTATACGGCATGCTTTTACATAGTGCATCCAGCCATTGAACATATTAGATGGAAGAACTGGTTTTAGAAGCACGGGAGAGTACACCAATACCCAAGACTTCCACTCATCTGCTTTCATGTGGGAAAAGCCCTTTCCTATCTTCGTTTTCAGCTTGGTATAGTAGCTGGGCAATATCATCGTTGCTGCAACTGTCTGCATTGCAAGCAGATCATTGTTTTTCATTTTTTCATTTTTGTCCATGTTTCAATCATTCTCTTTGGTGTTCCCAGAAAAAGATTATGCATGGGATCAATGATCGTTCCACGTACTAGATCAAAGTATCCAAGGCGATACAACTGCGACCATTGAACATCATATTCGACCTCCAGCTGCTGCCTTTCTGAGGGTGTACTCGCACTATTCCACTCCTCAGCATGCACACGGTTTGCTCTATCACTTTGATGGCGCCACTGGTCACAATCAAATCCACAGAAATCAACAGAAGAAGTGCCTGGTAGACAAGAAAATTGATTGTCACATTTGTAACAGGCGCATGTGCTGTTGTGCGCGGTGAACCCACTAGTCTTTCTGGCAGCAGATATATCGCATGCAACCATCAATAAGGCTGCACGAACTGTTGCACCGTCTGTTTGCTGGTAGGTGGGTATCTGTATTCCAAGATAGAGCTGTATCATTTCGTTGGCTAATGGCTTGAGATAATGATTGATCTCTTCTGATTTTGGCTCTTTTGGTCCGGGCATGAGGCCAACAAGGATTGTATTTTCTGCTTTAAACCGCTCACTTCTAGGCAGGTTGTTAATCACCAGGTAGATAGCACCGCAGGAATAGCTAGTACCATCGAAAGGCTGGAACCAGTCGATGTTTAATGTCAGCATCAATGAACGAGGATGCTCAACAAAAATTTCATTGTCATTGTCCTTCAAATCAGTCCAGGCTTCACCATCGTAAACATCACACAATGTATCAGTGATCTTGAATTCTTGGTTCCAGTGCATGATCTTTTGCTCGAAATCGGGACAGAGGAAAAGAATTTTAAGAGCACGTGTGAGAGACTGATATACATAAGACTTCTTTGCGACCAAACCACCAGACAATGATTGGACCATTAATTTGCAATTACAGGCAGTATGTGCACCAAGCTTTACGAAATCACAATTCAAAGGAGCAGGTACACTTTCCTCATATACCTTGTGGCAATCCTGACAAACGACAAATCTCTTAATCCCTTTTGTCATGGCTGAGAATCCTGTCATGCTTTGGAGACCAGAAAGACTCACAGGCAATTGGAAATCCTGCTTGTAAATTGACAAGAGCTTGTTGATGAATTCGATCAAGACAACAGCGCCCTTATTGACCACATAGCGGGAAGCAAACATTACCACAAAAGTAGCAATGAACCTGTGTACCGGATTTTCAGGCATATTTGGGGTGGCAAAAGGATCTATTGTAAAAAAAAACAAAAAAAATTAACACCCCCCCTTTTTTCAGATTTTTCTTTTTTGGTTCTTTTCCTTGAATTTTTTTTGGGTCTTTTTTTATTAGTTAATTAACACGGACTGACCTTCAGTATCGAATTCTTCGACTTCAATCTCAACAATATTCTCTTCATTGTCTTCACTTTCTTCACCGCCATTGCTTTCTTCGTCATTGTCATTTTCATCACCATCACTGCTTTTGCCGTTCGACTCATTGCTAAAAGCAACCTCATCGTCAGAAATTGGGGCTCCTTCCCAAACAGGCGAGTTGGTCTGACCGTCCATTGCTTCTATGGGTCTGGTTTGTTGGTTTGATGTAGCTACATATAGAATTCAATTTTTAGTTTACTTCTCTTTTTATCACAATTAACGTTTCTTACTTTCAAAATCAATATCCATGAGATTTCTTTGAACAGATACATCTATTGAAATAAAACATTATATAAAATAACCAAAATGAAAATGAAAATGAAAAACAAAACATACTTCTTTCACTTCTTTCCATGTCTTCATATCTTGCTCTTTTATTGTGATGCTGGAGGGTTCGTGTAGAAACAAAGCTGTAGCCTTGTTGATTATCGCTGCATTTTGTGCAATAGCACTTCTTATTATAAAGTTCAGAAGTAGAGGACATGGTGTTTATTTTGTTATAAATGTTAAGATAAAAGGGAAACAAGTGTTACATTTACTTTATTTGTTCAAACTTTATAATAATAATAATAATAATAAAATAACTTGGATGGTTATTATATCCGAGCCAATAGAAAATTACAACATGACTTTATGAACATGTACACCAAAAAACATGCTGAGATGAAAAATTGCTCTAAATATCCACATGTAACCATGAACCTTCACATAAGGGTATTCAGGGTCATTTCTCCAGTGAGAGATAACCAATCTTTGGATTATCTTTCAATAGATAGGGAACACATTCTATATAGCTCAATCTCAAAGGTGTATAGGTAGAAGGTCCTAAACAAACTAATTGGGATCCTGGTGATCTTCTTTTATTTCTTTTGGCTCTAGTGCTCTTATTCATTTTAAACATATTTAATTGTATTGTTAAGCTTTAATAAAAATAGGGTAGAGGTTTGGAATTTTACACATAACTTGGTATTAATTATTGTATCACTAAAATGGGTTAGTTTACAGAGATCAAAAGCTTGATGGCTGTAAAAAGTCACATGATTGCACTATAGGGAACTGGTTTTTCAAATCTGGAAAACTGGAAAACAGTGTAAATTGGACGAAAGTGTCCCTTTAATTTGGCAGACAAATAAAAATTTTGTCCCTATTTTTGCTGTTCCAGATTTGTGTGGTGACTCTGACAGATTCATCAAAATACTGTCCGACAGCATCATAATTAAAAAGCCTAAAAGTTGATGCCAGTAGTACTTGCACCCCCGACGGGGGTCGAACCCGCAATCCTCAGATTAGAAGTCTGAAGCGTTATCCAATTACGCCACGGGGGCTACTCTCATGTTGGCACATAAGTATTGTAAAATCAACAAAAATTAACACAATTTCGGTTGTCTGGCAGTGCGGTGATGTTGCAGAATTCTTTGTAATTCTAAAAAAAATTATATTCTATTATTTTTTATTATTTTCTGATGGCGGCCGAGGCTGGATAGAAAGCAATTTTTTTATTCGTAGAGCAAAACACTAATAAGTACAATGAAAAAGCATCATCCTGTCAACAATAACTTCAGGCAACCACACATTATATCTTATTTTCTCACTATATTTAACTGAACCACTACGGCAGAGAAAATGGTAACATGTTACCACTTTGGTAACATAACTACCATTTTTTACTATGTAAAAAATGGCAGTTATTTATTATGTAAAAAGCCAAAACAAGCACTGTTACCATTTTTCAAAAAAAAAATCAAGCGTCCTTCCTTTCCTCTATTACATTCTTTCTTTTGTTCTATTGCTTTCAATTCTAGCACAACCTCTTGTTTTTCCTTTGCAGCTTTAACAGAATGGTCTGTTTTTTATTATACAATATTGAATCGGGTTTAATTGAATTGAATCTTTATTTTAATGCATGTTTTATTAAATGAAAATGATAATAATAATAGTAATAATGAAAAAACAATTCCATTGACCACTCACAATAAAAAATAGTTCTGTTTAGCTACTGCAAAATGTATGCAGTAAAACACTACTATTCAAATTGTATTTCATATACTTTGGGTATTCTAATATATCTTAGATAGCACTTATTATTTTTTACCGAGTTCTACAAATATACTAATATTAGAGAAAAAACTTAAAATAAATAAATAGATATAATATTATTATAATGCTTACCTTTATATAATATGCTTACTTGTTCAGTAAAATAAGCATTTACTCTAAGAATATATATATATATTAAAGAATGTATTAATATTTAAGATCTATATATAAGAAAAGCAATAAAACATAAGCACTATAGAAAGTTGTTATCGTAGAAGAAGAAAAACTTGAGCAAAGATTCAAGTCATGTAACATGAAGCTAATTCGAATCTGATTTATACAACCGAAATGAGCATCTTGTTAGAAAGCTCAACGTGTTTATTCTACTCAATATACTTACATATAATAGAACGACTCCCAAGTATAATATATCAGTACAAAAATATTACTATTAATTTTTTTCTCAAAAAAAAAGCTATATACTATTTCCTTTTATATTTGAATATAGCGGAATTGTAGATGCTATACATTAGCTTCAAATTCTTGTAATCACAACATTAGCAATCATATGAAAGAGGTCAATAAATTTTTTATATAAAAGAAAAAAGGAATAAAAAACATAAAAAGAAAAATGACGAGATAAGAAAAAAAATGCACTAAAGACAGACTAAAAAAATCAAACTCGGCCAATCACAGCAGCCAAACTACGATCTTCGGCTTCTCTTGCGAGCAGGCTCAACACTTGCTGTGGGTGGAGGAGACCTACATAAAAGAGTAAGAAGTTTATATTAGTTTTATATTAACAGCGCATGAGAAAAAGCAATAATGGTAACTTACAGCACATCTGCCATTATGGGCGACTCAACATCACCAGTTTCTGACATATCAGGAGAAGAAAGCGAAGAATCACTTATGTCTCGCTGTGTCTATAGCATAATAAAAGGAAACGATGTTAATTAAAGTTTACAATATATAGATTTGTTAATTGATAAACTTACTTTGTTCTTCTCTGCCATTCTTCTCTTGTGCGTCTGGTTGTCGCTCTTGAAGCTTTTCTGAAGAAGGCTTCTTGCACACCACATTCTTTTACATTGGTGGATGTGCAATCCACCATTCTTCACCAACCTCTCCAAATGCATCATGTAGTATTCCCTGTTTTTCTCTGGGATATTCTTCCATTCTTTTGAGGCCGCAGGATAGTCTTTGTCAATGATATCATGCTTTACCGTACGGCCTAATGTTTTGAGATGCAGTCTTTTTACTGTCAAATCATGGTCTGAAAGAGGGACTAATGGGGGCAAAGGCTGCCCTTGTGGAACTTCTTTGCAGCGCGCCTTCCAGTCCTGCTCGTGAAGAATCTGAAGCAACAGATTGTATTTTTGCGCTTCGTTTTTTCCTTTGAACTCGCCACCAGTATTGATTACTCACTTACCGAGCTGATCAGGGTACTCTGTGAGCTGGGCTCTTTTCACAGACTCGGCAATGCGCTCAAGAGCTACAAAAAATGTATGACAATATTAATAAAGTAAATAAACATCTAAGCACAGAATATATATGACTTACAACTCTGCTCAATAATGCTTTGTTGCATTGTAGTTAGATCTTCCGCACTGACTGCTGGTGCAAATTGATTGCTGAATTGCCTTTGAAGCTTGCGCAATGTTTGCTTGATTTCAGCAAGATCAACCTCAATCTTTTGAATTGAGTTGAGGAGAGTTGTGTTAATATTGGACATGTTTAAGTTTTTTTTTAGCTATAAGCAGTGAGTTGAAAAGAAAAGGTGATAGTTTAGACAAGTAGAATAAGAGCGATTTGAGTTTGAGAAAGGCAACGATTTATTACAAGCAATTGATAGCTATTTATATGAAAAAGATACAGACAGATGTACAAACAAAACATATAAAAGAAGGGATGCTTATGCACTTGTATGCACCTGTCTGCACCTGTCTGCAGTAGCTCATGTGAACATGATACAGTCTTTTTGTGTCAACACAACAAAACTGTAAGAAATATAAAGATAAAATGAATTAGACTTTAAATCAATATTATATGTATAAATGTTCATACTTTGCACCGTCTACATATTAAACGTTTTAAAGTATATGATATAATAATATAACTCTATACATATTGCAGATATAGCATGAAATTTGGTTAAAGTTCTCGATGACAAAACTCTGTACCAGTTAAAATTATAACTTTAAATATACTCTACAGTAGCTATATAACATCTGAATATCATATAGTTAATTAGCCCCTTTTTATCAACATTAAAGTAAATGTTATGATACTCAAGTTCATATCATACTTATTATCATTATCGACTAAAACTTTTGATTGATGCTGTCATCAAAGGTAAAAATAATTTTAACTGTAATTACTATTATTTACCAACGGGCATTTTTGACTGAAACCGTACATTTTTGAAAAAGGTGTGCTTTAACTCACATCGGCACTTTCAATTAACACCCCTTTCGATCAGTAGTGCTTATCTTGATGATGTCAGTAAAAGAGTATCAGACTATAGCCCTCATTATCTATATCTATTTCTTTAAGTTTTATACATAAACAAGAAAATAATGCTATTAGCTAAATATATATTCACTATCTCAAAAATATTATTAGTACAACACAGATAATATAAATATGTCTTTTCTGCCAATGTGTTTAGACAGTACTACTTTTTTTTAACTGTTAATTATTAGAAGGCTGTTTTTCTTTGCCTTTGGTATTAGAGAGTAATTGATAATTTATTTAAAAAAAAAACATAAATTATTTGGTCATTAATTATCCTAAATATACATATACCTCTTTATAAAGCCCAAAGAATATCTAATCGCTCACAAGTAAAGAGTACATATCTGTTTCACCGGTGCTCTTTTAATGGTACCCCCTTGTCAACCAAGAAGTATTTTAACTTACATCATAATTATTAATGAAGAAGAATCTTTCCAACCACGGGAATTATTTACTGACAGGTGTTTCACCTAGCATTGTCATTACTGTAATCATTGCTATATCATCATTATGAGAGAGAAAAAGAAAAAGAGCCGCAAGCATTTTGGTTAAAAAATAAAGAGTATATAAAGATGTCTTTTACATTTAACAAATAGCACCAAAATCCTCTTCGCAGCTTTATTTTATATATTACATACGTACCAACCCAACCAATATGTCTTCTTCCAACGCCAGCCAGCAGAGAGATAGAATATCTACACAGCAATACCAATGTGATCAATGTGTCTTGTTTTTTGATAACTATCAGAAGCTGCAAAACCACAAGAGAATTCACAGAGGAGATTCAGCAACAATGACTGAAATTGACCAGTCTATTCTGGATGATATTGACATGTACCATGACGAAAATGATACTAGTAATGAAGATGAATCTGTTAGCAATTCAGGTAATGAAAAGAGCTGTAATTGTATTATTTATTTTCCAATTACTAAATAATGTATTACAGAATATACTATGGAGTCTATGGAGCTTGATAATACTATTTCATATAAGTGCACATGTAATTTTGAGGACAGTGAGGGTGAAGCTCACATTTACGACAGCAGCCAAATCAGTACAAATACTTTTACCAAGGCCGAGTTGATGAGTATTCATCTGTCTCAATTGATGCTACAGCATAGAATTGCTAGAGCAGCATATAGAGACATTGTTCAATTTATAAACACTGTCATCCGAGACCATGACGATATAATGATGGGTAAAATATTATATTTTCTGTTACCTTGTACTTTAATTCCAGATCACTAACATGTAGTGATATCGTTTTTTTTAGAACCTGGGGCTAAGATCAGTCATGGCGAAACTGTTGATGCTTTGCTCAAGTCAAAGTCAAGTGTCAAGGGCCATGAGTATGATGTCTGCTCTAGTGGTTGTCGATTGTATGGCATTAATGACGACCAGGAATCTTGTGTTGACTGCGGCAAACTGCGATACAAGACTGATCCCGATCAAAGTCAGACACCAGCCGCCAGTATGAAACTTATGTCAGTTGGGGATATGCTTTCTCAAATGTTGGCAGATCCAGCCACAAGAGAACTCCTCTGTTACAGAGCAAACCGGGAATCTGTAGCTGGTCAGCTAACCGACATTTTTGATGGTGACAATTACAAGCAGTTGGTGCAGCAGGGCCTGTTCTCCAATCCCGATGATATTGCCATTGGGCTTTATACCGATGGGTTTGTCAATCAAAAGAAAGGCAAAAACTCATATACCATCATCCATTGCATAATATTCAACCTAGACCCATCCATCAGGTAATTAATTAATTTATTACTATTTATTATTATTATTACATTTTTTTTAAAAAAAAAATTACTAATAAAATACTTAGATATACCAACAAATACCTTTTGCAACTGGCAATCTTGCCTGGCCCCAAGAAGCCAACTCATTTGGACTCCTTTCTTATACCCATCATCAATGAATTGCGAGATCTTGAGGCACATGGCTTGGTTGTCAAGCACAATGGAGTGGAGCTTTGCAGATCCAAGGTCTATCTTCTGCTTGCTTTTGGCGATATTCCAGCTGTAGCTGGTATGGCCCACATTGGTTCCCATACAAGTTTATTTGGTTGCCGTTTTTGTGAGACCAAAGGCAAATGCCCTACTAACAGACGGCATGGCATGTACTTTGATGACATTGCCGCCCGGTTAAGACCTTTGGAAGACTTCAAAGTAGGCAACCCTGTAAGTATACAAATGTTCAATTAGCCATCTTTTTTTCATACTAAATAACTGCTTGTAATAGTCGAAGAACATATACCAGCCGAGCATGTATACCCAACTCTCAACCTTCTCTGGATCATCATTTTTTGCATTAGATGAACTTCATTTAATTGCAAGAGGGATTGGAAAGCTTGTGTATAACCTGATTACCGTCACCCTCACAAAGGAAACCAAATTTTATTATACCCATCCAGACAATACCCTCAATACCACCGAATACCCTTTTCATATACCAAGAGCAGACCTTGTAACAATTGGAAACTGTATCACCAGCTCACAAAAATATATACCCACCTCATTTCAAGGCAGTTTCAACAACATATTTGCCAAGATTGATGGTACTTGCGCAGTGGACTGGCTTGACTTTCTCTTATACCTTGTCCCCACTTTGGTCGTGCCTTATTTACCAAATAGGGCTGTCAAAACAGCTCTATTATCTCTCGTGAAAGGTTGCGCGCTTGCCTTGCAATGGACGTTGACATCAGAATTGCTTGATGAGATGGAGTCGTAAGTTATTATACGTCTCATATATTATCATTACAAATAGCTGATTGTTACCATTTTTTAAATATTAATAATAGATACTTCAAGCACTGGCACTCGTTTTTATACCAACAAGTCCAGAATAATACTCTGTCTCATAGTGTTTTCCGACCAGTGCAACATTACCTGGTCCATATACCCTATATCATCAAGCAGCAAGGCCCCCTGCAATGCTACTCCACTCGCTCAATGGAGAGAGTAATTGGCGTCTTCTCGAAATTGATAAAGTCCAAATCAAAGGGTGGCCGAAACACCAGTTTTCTCGTTGAGCGATTTGCAATTCACAATTATACCAGCACAGCAATCAGCATCTGTGATGAAATCAACCTCATTCGGCCAAAGCCATATGGAAGAGAGAGCTACATGGACCTTCCTAATGATCCTAGTGGTGCGCAGTTGTGGGAGCCATTTCATCAGTTTGTTAATTTGAACAATGATTTGGTGGAAGGTGTAGGCGGCCCTAGTGTGAAGGAAGCTTTATTGAAATACTACCGGAGAACAACAGGCTTGACTGGCCACGAGTTTGGTGACTCTGTTGTTGTTGTAGCTGCACGTCTGTGGATGGACTCGACTGTATATTCCTCATGCATGTACCGAAGAAAGAAAAACGAGACCAGGTGTGGCAACCATTACGTGATGTTTACTTGCTCCTATAGAAAGTAAGTATAATATTTTTCGATATACAATCAAAAGTTGCTTACATTCTATTTATTTATTTATTTTAGCAACCGTAATGTAATTGTTCACAGCTGGCTCATCAGTACAGTATAGTTCTACTTTCAGCATATAGATTTCAATGACTCCCCACACTTTCTTGCTTTCATGGAGGTCATGAAGGAACATGACGCGGCTGGCCATGACTCATCAGTACCTATTGTCAAACAATGGTCACAAAGCACCCGTAAACTAGGCCACCAAACGCAGCCGACTTATGCAGTTATAAGTGTAAATGACATTTGTCATCAGGTTGGTCTGGTCCAATACCCACCAAATGGAAACCAGTTTTATGTAATCGCGCCCTATTATATCTTTAACAACAACATGTGCATTACTAAAGGTAATCTTTCCATTCTGTAATCCTTTTTATTTTTATCTTATTTTTCTATATGCTCTATATCCTTATATCTTTTATATTTTTTATATCATCCTTGTATCTTATATTCTTTTTTTAATTTTCTCTATTTCTTATGTTTTTTTTAATCTCTATATGCCCCATCTTTCTTTTCTTCTTTATATACTCCGGTTTTTTTTCTATTCTCTATACACCTTATGCTTTTCTCTTCATTCCCTATATGCTCTATACGCCATTACGCGATTTAAATAAAATCAAATTGCCAATTCATCAAGATAAAAAGAATATCTAAAAAAAAAGAACATAGTTTAAAAAATAAAAAAAATGGCAGTTATGTTACCATTTCGTTCACACATTCCAAAAATTATTAATCTTAATAATTTTTGACATCTTTGATATTCAATAAAACATATATTTCAATACTCAAAGTAGTCATTACAACTTACAAACATTTTTTACAGTATTGAAAATATTGTACAGCAACAAAAAAAGTGTTTTCATGTTACTTTTTTAAATTGCTACGAATGACATTACCATCTTACAACAAACAGCGGAGATTTTATTGGGTTTCGACCAAAAAAATGGCAGTTATGTGCCTACTTTCGGCCCAACTGCCATTCATCCTGCCGTAGTGATAATTATAACTCATTAACACATTTACTTTTGATGTTAATACTTCATTGGGACTATACACATTTATATAATTAATCATACATTAATTATCCCAAGATTACGTTGCTCTGATTAAGGCTCAGATAGGATTGATTACCTGACCCCAGTCATATAATTTTCCTAATTCAAAATAATATAAATAGCAGTAGTAATTCAGTATAGGAGCCTGATCAAACTTTGATACCAAATTTTTCTCAATAAATAAACTCTACACAAGTTCTCACGAATCTTTGTTTCTCATTTCAAATCTTGAATTCTTTCTTTTACAACTTCTTAAAAACTTTAACCACCACAATAATATTGTTTCTTTGGCTTTAATGTTATATCATACAACCTTTGCGCAGTTGACTACTTGTCTTTTTTATATGGAGAAGTTTAAGTTTTGAAGATTAACATCCTTTTACTAATTATGATAGTGTTTTTGAGAGTGATAAAAGTCATACTAGCTTGTATATAAGAGTAAAATATGTGAAATAAAAGAAAATTTAGCAAGAATGCAAAAGACAATTGTTCTTATTTACACTACACTGTTTGAAGTGTTATATTAATAATTAATATCAAGTCAAATATAATGAGTTTTACAAAGAACTAATTTATATTTCTGATTGACATTGTAGTACATGTTAGCCAACGACCTCCTTCTATATTTTATGCTATGGAATTTGAAAAATACGAGATGAATATATTTTCAAGAATCCAGAGGATAAGGTTCAGCTTTAAAGACTTAGATAGCTGTTAAATATTCAGTGGATAGCTTTAAAGAGAAGCAAAACATTGGAGTTACAATAATTTTACATATTTGGGAGTTAACTTAATCTATGCCTATGCCAATGGCTTGACGGCTTAGATAGCAAACTGACTATTATATACCCAGCTTAGGGTGAAATTGACTTACTTCCAACTCCGACATGACTTCTTTCTATGGAAGAAAATCATCCTCTATTTTTATTTTATTTTAGTTCTGTAATCTCTCTAATAAAACAAATCACAATGCCAAAGAACAATAAAGCTAAAACTATCAACTCATATTACAAGACAACAGATTTGGAAAAAGGAATGACTTTTGGAAGATATAAAGAAGGACGTAGCTCCTATGAGATTTCAGATGCAGAAGGCATATCCCAATTAACTGTTTATTGTATAATTAAAAAATATGAGACAAAGAAGACGTGTGCTGAGAAGGAGCATCCTAAGACCTCTAAGAAGCTATCACCATGGGCAATTCGTTATTTGAAGTTTATCACAAAAAAAATAGACGCGACATATTAGCTACCATCATGTGCAGTGTTAAAGAGATGTATGACATCTCAATCAGTCAAACAACAGTATGCAAATATCTGCATGATATGAACCTTCGCTCTTGTGTTACTGTAGCCAAGCCTTACCTAGATGAAGCACATAAGAGGGCATGCTTGCAATGGGTTAGTGAGCAAAAAATTAGAATAATGAATGGACATCAGTAATTTGGAGTGATAAGTCCAGATTCACCCTTTTTCAGAAAGGTGGGCAGCAATATGTCTGGTGTCAGCTGCATGAGAAATATGCCAGTGACTGTCTGATACCAGCAGTGCAATGGTTGGGTGGTTCAGTATCAGTTTGGAGATGTATCTGGACAGAAGGTATTGGCCCACTCGTTATATTAGATGACTACATGACAAAAGAAATGTTTGTTCAGACACTGAGGAACAACTATCTTTCTTTTCTTGCTGCCCTTTCAGACAAGAACACCACCACCCACCTTCTCCAAGAAGATAATGCCAAGCCACATAAGAGCAAGTTGGCAGAACAGTGGAAAAAAAAAGAAATAATGTGGCTATCTTATCATGACCTGCAAAAGTCCAGATCTCAATTCAATTTAGAATATGTGAAGCTACCTTGATAACAAGATTACAGATAGAAGACTCCAGCCTACCACACTAAAAGAACTGGAAGTTACTTTGTTGGAGGAGAGGGCAGAAATCACAGCAAGTACTTGTGTGAAGTTTTGTCTGAGCATTAAAGATTGTATGATATTAGTTAGGAAGAAGTATGCAGGAGCTATTAACTATTAAACATCCATCAATTTTTAATATAAATAAGTAACACATATTACAAAATATTCCATTCATTTTTTGTCTTTAAGGATCATGTCTTTGAGAACTTATTTAACCTTGAAAAACAAAGGTGTACTTCTCTGATTTTAGCGGAGTTGGAAGTAAGTCACTTTCACTCTAAGCCAGATGTATTTAGAAATGGGGATAAGATATATTGGATTGTAATAGTAATGAATAATTGTGATGTCTATAATAGAAAAGTATAGTTCGAGATGTGACCTAGTCCCACACTGTCATATCACCCCCTCTCTAGCAAGAACTTTGTCTTTGCATGAATGAGTAGATTTGCTCACTGGAAAAAGTAGCAAAATACTGACGTTTATATATGGGCAAACGGTACTGGAATAACGTGATATATCATAGTTGATATTTTTTCCACTAGGTTTTAAGGTCATCTAGCACTGTATGTGCGAGACTTACAAACACTACAGTATATGTAGATGGGGGGTTCAGCAAGTAAGGTTTGGTAGCACTTTTGATATACTTGTTATCACTACGGGAAAAAAAAGTGGGGTTTTATGGCTGCTTTATGGCGGTTTGACAAGGCGGCTTTGTGGCGGTTTTTTGCCAAATATCCACTTTGCCCCCCTGGAGTTTAAATACATATTACAGATCTCCGCTTTCTGATTCTCCTTTGTTGGCTCTTCTATTGGACAGCGTTTCATTCTTTATTGTATAAAGTATATTATATAATCGATTACTTTTATTGGGTACTCTCTTAAATGTCATTTATTACTTTAATATTTTAGCTTAGAAAGGAATTCTATTGGATACTAGTAATTTTTTTTTAATGTTACTTTTATGAAAACAGTTTTTTATTGGATAATATACATGTAAGTGTTTGATCATTTTAATAAATACAAATTTTTATTGGTTATTACAATAGAAGATCATTTTTATTAATCATTTTTATTGGTTGTTATGACAGAAAAAAAATCATATTGCTCATTTTACTGGTTATTATGACAGAAAAATAAATAATATTGTTTATTTTATTGGCTGTTAAAGCATAAAAAAATCTATAGATACATTTTATTGGCTATTTACTATTTAATATTCTAGGTTTTCATAGTAAAATATCCTATTCAATTCCACTACACCGGATTACTTACGAGACTGTAATCTTTTATGGCAGTCCCTCCAGAGATGTGCAACTCTTGCAGTTGATGCCCAGTTTCCGAGACATCTAGTGAAGTCTATACCAGAATCCTTCATTATATTTGCGTGCCTGGCACACATTTCTTTCTTAAGTGCTACTGGTATAGACCCCCAGCTAGGATTAGGACCAAGAGCGATCACTGAAGGATGGGCAGCCATATCATCACATATAAGCTTTGTACACATATTGAGTGTGGCCTTTTCGTTACTTGTTACTTCAATGCCAAGGTCTTCACTTATCATCTTGAAGATATGCTTTAAAGTTATTTCACAGAATATGCTCACCGGTTTGCGGATGGTATTAGCACTAGACTATTAAATGACATATTAATATATATTCAACTCGTTTTATTTTTTGTCTTACAATGGCAGAGACAGAAAGCGAAGTGTGTTGGTTGGAAATGTTTCTATTCTCCAGTTGGCTCTGGAGAGCAGTAATCTCCAAATTCAAACCTTCGATGCTCGTCTTCATTTCGAGCTTCAACTCTTCGATCTGTGCCTTCATTTCAAGTTTGGCCTTTCCTTGGCCTGCCTTCAAAGATAGTATCTCATTGTACATGGCGTGTAGCAAAGAGATGGAATTGTTATCTGTGTTATTCATGTTGAAAGTTTGGTTTACCTGAGAAAAGGATTGTTGTGAAAGAAAGATAAAGGCCAAAAAAATTTTCTATTGTCTATTATTAGTTTCATATAAATGAGTTTAATCTATTGGTCCAACCAATATTATTATTGGGCTACTGTAGTTCTAATAACAGCTATTACGCAATGTTTTAGCTTCTGTTTCTGAGTTTATATTTGTATCATCTATGTCATTGCCTACTTGTAGTCATTAAGTCTATACAAATCTCAACGCTATTAAGTATAAAGGCATATTATTTAAAAGGAATTATCAATATTCATACCTTTATTCTTAAGTGTTTATTTCCAACCTAAAAAATGTCTTCAAATTCAATCCTTGATAGTTACCAATGCAATCAATGCAAAGAGCGCCACACCAATTTAAAAAAAGCCAAGAGTTGTAGAGCTCAATGCTTTAAGAACCGTCATAGAAGACATAATGATATCCAGACTTCACAGACCACGCCTGTTCCTGGACAAGTCAGTGTTGTTTTGAACACTGTCTTGAACGACACTATCGAGTAAGACTACAAATCACATACATACTATTAGAAAGTATAATTAATTATATTGTTACCTTCATAAACAAGCAGAGAACGTGCTGATGCAATCGAAGATCAGATCATGGATACACTCAACAGCGAAGATAACGATGATCCAATTATGAATATCTTCAGTAATGATGACAATGATGAGTCTATGGTAAGATATATATATATGTCTTATTATATAATGCTAATTATTATTTACCTTGTTAAAGTATGATGTGGAACTTGGCAACGACATGGATATCATTGAAAACGAAACATCTCCTTTGGTTTTTGACTTCAGTCAGCCTGCACCTACCCCTGACAAAGACGATGCAAAGAACCTTGAGTTTCTCAAGATCATTAAGGATTTTGGTATCTCCCGCAATGCTCATGAAATGATAGTCAAGCATTTCAACAGCATTTTGGAAACGTCGACTTGTATTACATACAGAGCATGTACTCCCCATCTTGGCAAAAAGCTTTTGAAGCGTTTCTCGGGTGTTGAAGAGACAGTCCATGATATCTGTCAGAGGGGATGTATGCTCTTTACCAGTCCATCCCAGACTGAGTGCTCCAACTGTGGACAAAGCCGGTACAAAACAAGACGCGGAGAAACCGAGGGTGGTGATCTGGTTGCTGCTGCCACGATGATACAGCTTCCATTGGCAAGACAACTGGCTCTTGCGTTAGCCAACGAGAATACAAGAGCAGATATGCATTACCGCCATAATCATGAGCCAAGCTCGGATGGAAGTAAAACCGATGTGTTTGATGGCCAGGTTTACCAGCAAGTAAAACATCTGTTTTCCGGAAAAGATGACGTTGCAATTTCGTTGTCTGTTGAAGGATTCACGCCACACAATGTTCCTGGTTCTGTAACGATCCTCCATACCACCATTCTTAACCTGAATCCCATGGTCCGGTATGAGAGAAGCAGAATGCTCCAGATCGCAATGATCCCAGGTCCAGGTGCACCTGCCAATTTCTGGTTGTTCATGGAACCAACAATGAAAGAGCTCTTGGTGTTGGAGAGCGAAGGGATGGTTGTCAAGACACCAAACGAGACCATTCGTGCCAAGGTACATGTCTTAATGGTCACTGGTGACATTCCCGCCTTAGCAAAGTTGGCATGCCATTCTGGACATATGAGCAAAGACGGTTGCCGTATCTGTCATGTTGTTGGCCAATGTCCCAAGCACGTACAATACTTCAGAACTTTGCCCAGCACCAATATCCGTACACTGGAAAGTTTCCAGAATTTTTCCCAGGCCAGTGCATCCAGCCGCAAAGGGTTAAACGGACAATCCCCCCTGGCAACATTGAAGGTATTCTCTGGACCATTGTTTTTTGCCCTCGATGAGATGCATGGACTTTGCCATGGAATAAGCAAGCAGATCTGGGGTTTGGTTTCTGGTACCTACGGAACAGACCATTGTTTTGCTCTTTCTTCTGGTGTTCGGAAGGAGATCGGTACAGCAATGTACAAAACAAGAAATACCATCCCTACATCCTTCCATGGCGATTGGAGGGATGTATACAAGAACCCCGGGTCGTTCAAGGCCGTCAATTGGGCAGACTTTCTTCTGTTCGTCGTCCCTACGCTGGTAGCAGAGCGTATTGGAGATGCAACTGCCTGGAACGCGTTACTTGGCTTGGTTCAAGCATGTAACCTACTCATGAGCTGGGAGTTATCAGCAGAGGAACAAACCTCTATCAAAAGGTATATTTTAGTAAAAGCTATGTGTTATTCTATTATTTATTCTAACTAATTTTCTTCAGTAAACTTGAAATATAGAACATGTACCTGGAATCGCTGCTTACAAGTGGAAAAATCAAAATCAATATTTTCACTATAAACCAGCATCTTCTTCAGCACTATCCTCTCATGATTGACGCATACGGCCCACCTTGTGCATATAGCGCCAGATCCGTGGAACGGGCAATCGGTGAATACTCAAGGGCTATCAAGAGTAATTCTGCTATAAATGTTAACGCTGGCAATATCATGCTTGGCTTAGCACAAATACGACAAGCAGAGGCCGGAGCCACTGTCATGATTACAGAAGCAAGAACAGCACAACACTTACAATATGAAGATTCCACTGCTGGTTGGCCGTTGACAGATGAGGGTGAGCGTGTTGGTGCTGGGTCTGATATTGAGTTCTGGGGGCCTTTGAGGAATAGAATGATCCGAGATAGTTTTGAAGGCATTTCTTGTCTTTCGAAACTTCTTGAAGACTTCTACGAATCAAAGGGGGAAGAGTGTAGTATGATTGAAGCAGCTATACAAACTAGCCGCAAGGCATTTGTCAATGGTTGTGTGATTGACTCTGCACTCGACCAAAATTGTGTAAGGGAGGCACATAACATCAGATTACAGATTCAGGTTGATGAAAACCGCAACATAAATTCTGCATACTCCCTGGTTTACAAGGATTTCTTCGGAAAAGTTGTTGTCTTCTTTGAGCACAAGCTCAACAACAAGAGATGGCCGCTTGCTCTTGTAGAGATTGTGGCAGTCCGTTTGGTAAATGGTATACCAGTTGTTAACAATGGGCAAATGAAGCCAAAGGTAGTTCACCTGGCAGATGTCAAAGAATTGGTTGGTTTGGTGAAGTCGGACGCGACTATAAATACAACAACAACAACAACATACATAGTGTGGCCAGAGCTTAACCGCGGCCCAAAATTGTCACTTGGTTCTCTTGCAGACCTATAATTTGTTTTTTTTTGTAATACATTTTTTTTTTCAAATTGTCTTAACATATTTTATTTTCTCAGCAGAAAGTTTAGATATTTTCTTCTCTTTTTCTTCTGACTTTTAATAGTCATCAAATGCAATCTACATTTACTAAAAATGTAAAGTCTGTAGTTAAAGCTTACTTTTGTCTATCAGGAGATTTGATTTTAGGTGGTCAATTTGCTTTTTGTCAACCTTTTCAAAAAACAGAGATTTTCTAGTTTCAAATTGGATTTTTAGTGATTTTTTAATTATTATAGGCCGAAAACATAGTCACAAAAGCAAAAAACCGCCATTTTTTCCCGTAGTGTATGCTTAATAAATAAATAAAAATATTTAAAACTATGGATGTATCTCAGTATTCTTGACACAGAACAGGAAAGGTCAAAGATGGATTACATCATGTATATTGCTCCAATGGTTTATCTGTACTACACCTCACCTTTACTGACCACCTTTACTGACCACCTATACGGACAGTTCTTTAAAACCTCCAATCATCAACAGCAAAAAAACACGTCTTTAAAATTATGGACCAGTAATATGTTCTTTATTTATTTGGTTTCCCATTCTTATTAGGTTGGTAATGGTTTACACTTTTATTTTTATTGGAAAGAATAGAATGTTTTTAGATTTCAAATCTAATAAAGCTATTCTATATCTTCAGCTACTTCTTGCTTGGCAAGCTTGTTATATTTGGGAAGAAAATTTTTTTACAAAAAACAAATACCTGAAGAAAATGAGATGCTCGTTACCTTTTTTTAGGGGTAAGAGCAGTACTCTTTGAGAATAGATAAAACATTAGTGATGGGAGTGCGTGCGTGTTTTATACTGCAAATGTTATGCACTAACTAATATTTACATTGGAAGTACCCAGTACAAATGAACAAAGAAATAAAACATTTACAGTAAAGCACGAGATTATGATTTCTTTGACTATAAAACGATAGGAAAGAATTAATTTTTGTGAATTGCGTGATAGAATAATTGATTTACATACCAAAGGCAAAGGATTTCTTTGCAGACCAAGATATTATCTGTAAAGCAGTAATATCGTCTCTAGTAGAGAATATACATTAATATACAGTATAAATAATATTATTGTATGTATAGAAGTAAATAAAAGGCTTACCATGGCAGTGACAGTAGCATGGGATAGAAGTTCTTGAGGAATAGCACGTTTGTAAGAGGGATGTTCATCTATAATAGAAATTATATTCAGTTAGATAAATATTAAAAAGAAATAGATTAAAATAAAATAGAATATTACCGTGTCAATATCCGTGTTTGATTGTAGAGAGTATTTTTGGCGATATGACCTATATTAAAGAAAGAAAAAAGTCAGAATGATTGTATGGAATGATGGCATAAAGTATATTTACTAACCCTGGCTAATCCGGATGACTGTTGTGAAGATGGCACATCAGAATGAGACGAAGAGTGAGTTTTTACAACATTAAAATATATTGTTATTTTTTAGTTATACATAAAGAAGTATATATTTCTTTTAAAACAAAGAAAGTGCCTTACCATAAAACCTTACGAGTGTAAAGAGTGAAGAGAGAGAAACAGAGAGAATACCTATGACAGATAAAAAAATTAATTCTTTTGTTCTTTGTAAAGAAGTATTTTGAACCAAAAACAATCTTACCAGAAAAATTTGCAAATATAACAAGAATTGAAAAGAGAGAGAAAAGAGGGAAATAACAAAAAACGAATAAAAAAAGTAAAAAAAAAAATCTTAAAAAAAAAAGAAAAAAGTGTGTTTAAAACAAAAGACTAAAATGATTTCATCAAGTCCCAAAGCAATATGAAAACCGATTTACATCTCAGTCATTACAAGAAGTATTAATAGAGATTCGTATACCAAATATGTTTTGAATATATATAATAATCATACCTTTCATATAATACACTTTCCCTTGCTCTTACTCTCTTGCTACTTACTACACTTATACTCCCAAATCAATACACTTGTTCTAACAATTCAAGTATGTAAACTTGATACGGTTTATTTTTAATTAAATTTACATAAATTTAATTGTAGAATGACAGCAATAATAATAATATAATCTGAAACTAATCATTATAACCTTTCATTTTATTATATTCTGTAGATAATGACTAACACAAGACGTGAACGCGCAATTGCCCTTCGTTCTGTTGAGATTATCAATCAGCAGCTTATGGAAATACTTTCTACTGTAAGAGCTGATATGTCTACTGTAAAAGGACAGATCAGCAATGTTGAGCAAACTCTGACCAACATGAATGGCAGAATTGGCGTTCTTGCCACCACCAGCACCAACACCATCAGTGCCATAGATAGTTTGGCCAGAACTCCCCTTGCTGCTCCTGTGAGAGCCGAACTCACTGTTGCTGCACCTGTTGTCATCTCCAACCATGAGCCTACCCGTGAAGAATCTAATGCAGTTTATGTGAGTAACATATTATAAAATATTTTATCAATTCATTTTCTCATGATTTATTTATCAGGCTCATATTCACAACCTTATGTAGAAACCCAAGCTTAGCTTAAGAACGCCAGAAAATATCCTGGCCAACAACCTCAAGCCCAGATGGGATACAAATGTTGCTTTCAACAAATCTCCCAACAGGGAGATAGCCAAGAGACTTCTTTCTAACCTTGAGCGCAGGTTTGGTTCCTCTAGTATGAGACGGAGTGACCTCCAAAAGAGGTTGCACACCAACTTCACTAGTAGAACCCATTGTAAGAGAATGTCTGATGATGAGATAGCGGAAACAAACGCTCTTACACAAAGAGCAGCCCGTGCAGATGATATGAGTATTATGCTAATATATATAGTTTATAGTTGAAAATTAAAAATAAAAATAACAAATTAACAAAACTTATTACTAGAATGAGTGTCACCGTGTACTGGCCTACAAAGACAATAAGGAGGCAATTGATCTTGTAATGCTCAGAGACTGTGCCAACACTCTCCAAAAAGCAGTAATGTCAGATGGAGAGTCTGCCAATGAAATAGACGAGGATGGCATAAAACATGTCATTCATATTGTACAACCAGGCTGGAGAAGTGATGAGGTAGATTAATTTGGAGTAATACGTTTGTATTGGTGTATTATTATATTGAGTGAATTATTAACAAATATATTTCAGTGCAACCGTTTCATTGCACTTGTTGACACTTATGCTGTCCAGGCCATGGGGTCAAGTGCTAATCAAAGGATTCGTAGGATCACTACTAGTGTGTCCAACTCAGCAGTCCTGGATAACATTAGCCCCAATTTTCCTTGGTGGGCTCTTAGAGACGGGCTCTAAATAAAAAAAAATGTTTCTCTCTTTTTATCTACATATTACTTTTTACATACACAATACTATCAATATATATAGGGAATTTGTTCTGTTTTTTTTTGTATAAGAAAAGGAAATTCAAGTGGGTGTTTTTTTTTATTTTAAGCATAAAGCTTTTTTGGCAAAGCAATTACTAACATCTTACTAACATTTCTACTTGTAGTAATCCTGGCTGTAGCAATCTCTAAAAAGATGCGGTGCACAGGTACAATGCAATGGCGACTATCAGGGGAGAAGGTGGGGAGACAAAACTCAAGATCGTCATCCTCACGCGATCTATCAGAGGAAGTATTAAACCACTTGATATATGTGAATACATGTCGATGATCATGAACCATGCGAGTCAGGTGGAGATTGCTATTAGAAGGGTGTGTAAAGGAGTGTGTGAGGAGATACTGTATTTGTCCAGCATAGGCTAGGGTATTTCTACCGTCACTACCAACAAACATTATGTGGACAAGAGAACCACAACTAGCTGAACCGTTTTTACCACGGTACTGTTGACCAAGTAAGTCAATGAACTTCAAATTTGTGATTTCATTGTCAACAAAGGAGTTTGTGAGCGTGGCATATTGGTAACTGACAAGGTTGGGAAGATCATAGGATGTTTTGTAGTGCTGAAGCAGATGGGCATAGTCGGTTTCATCCATCAGTGATGATTTTTTTAGCTGAAGAGGAAAAGTCGAAGGATGGAGAGGTTTGTCACCCTTTGGAGGAAGATGTGAGTTGGACGATACTAGTAAAAATGATTGCAATCAGAATGGACGGGAGGAGAGAGTAATTACTGTGGTGGTAGGTGTGAATTTCGGAGAAAGCTTTGAGAGAATATTGAAAAAGGGGACGTGGCTAGAACTTTTCAGAACAGCATTGGTATAGTCACCCTTGAATGCATTTTGAACAAAACTTCTCATATATGTTGCCTCAAAACTATCTTTTCCGTTTGTCTTTATATGCTTCAACAGGCCATTGTATCTCTCAAACCCAAAGAGCCAGTAACTATACACGGGTCCAAAATCACAAATGGTCTCGCAAAGGTGGAGGTGCAGGTGCATGTTGCAGGTGAGGATGGTGGGAGTGTAGAGTTTGGTAGCCTTTTTGCAAAACATTTCCAGATAGTCGTGGGCACTGTTCACTTCATCAAATGTGATGCTTGGCTTGATAAGATAGCGGCATGCACAGACAAAATTCATCCAGTTGTTGTATATTTCAAATGGTAGAACACCATGCAGCAGAACAGGAGAATACACCAGTACCCAGGATTTCCAGTCGTTGGCTTTCATGTAAGGAAAGCCTTTTCCAATCTTCAATGTCAGCTTTGTATAATCCCTTGGAAGGACCATTGTCTCTGTGATTTTTTCCATGGCAGCAAACTCTTTGCCTCCAATCGTTTTCTTATCGACCCACCAGTCTATCATTCTCTTTGGCGTCCCCAGGAATAAATTATGCATGGGATCAATGATCGTTCCATGTACTAGATCAAAGTATCCAAGGCGTTGCAACTGCGACCATCAAACACCATATTCAATCTCCAGCTGGTGCCTTTCTGAGAGTGTACTCGCACTCTTCCACTCCTCAGCATGCAACCTGTTCTCTACACCACTACGAATATTCCAAAGCAAATAATCGAATCCACTGAAGTTCACCTGATTTGTGTTGGGCAATCTGGGGAATTTGGTTGTACACTTGTAGCACGCACATGTACTATTGTGGGCTGTAAATCCACTTGTTCTCCTGGCAGCAGGGATGTTACACGCAACCATCAGCAAGGCAGCACGGACATTAGCACCAGAAGGGCACTTATAGGTTGGGACTCGCATTCCAACATACAACTGTTTCATCTTATTTACCATGGGCTTGAGATAGTTATTTATCTCCTCGCATCTTGGCTCCTTGGGACCAGGCATCAAACCAACCAGAATTGTGTTCTCAGGCTTGAACCGTACCTCTTGAGCCAGATTATTTACAACTAAGTAAATTGCACCAGAAGAGTAACTAACTCCATCGAATGGCTGGAACCAGTCTATGTTGAGTGTCAACATCAATGAGTGAGGACAAGCAACAAATGAGACACCACTTGCATCCTTCAGCTCTTTCCACATTGCTTCATTGTATATGTCGCACATAGTATTGACAATCTTAAGCTCCGTGTTCCAGTGACGGATTTGCTCTTCAAAACCAGGACAAAAGAAAAGAACAGACAAAGCTTGCTTGAGGGACTGGTACAAGTACGCTTGCTTTGATACCAGTGCACCTGAAGTTGACTCTTTCACCAACTTACAACTACAAGGAGAGCGTGCACCAACATTTGTGAAAACACAATGGGGAGGTACGGACATGTTTTCTTCATAGATGCAATGGCAGTTTGGACATAACACAAATTGCTTGATGCCTTTGGTGATGGACAAAAAGCCAGTCTTTTTATGTAGCCCAGCCTGACTTTCAGGAAGTTGGAAATCTTGTCCATAAATCTTCAAGAGCTTGTTAATGAACTCAATAAAGACAATAGAACCCTTATTGACCACGTAACAAGATGCAAACAGCACTGTAAAAGTAGCAATAAATCTGTGCACTGGATTCTCAGACATACCAGAAGCAGCAAAAGGGTGTTTTTTTTAAAAAAAAATTAATACACATTTTTTTTAGTTTTTTTTTATGTATTTAAAACTGACCCTCATTGTTAAACTCTTCAACATAAATCTCGGCAGTGTCTTCTTCGCCATTGTCATCACTGTCATTGTCATTGGTCCTGTCAGACTCATCACCATTGTAGTCATTACCAACAAAGACGTCATTGTCGAACATTGAGACAGCATCCGAAATAGGTGAGTTGGCCTGACTGTCCATTGCTTCCACAGAATCAGATTGATATGTTGGGATTACTACAAATATGGAATATAATAGTTTATTATTAGTTTTTCTTCTGCGTTTCAAATAAAAAATGTCTTACTTTCAGTATCTACTTCCATGCTTCTCTTTTCAGCTATGTTTTTTAAAATAATAAAAAATAAAAATAAAAGCAATTATTACTCAGTAGACAGATAACAGCACTGAATAAATTATACAACTCTTGAATATCTCAGTACCTTCAAATCTAGTTCTTTTATTATGACGCTGAGCAGTACGTCTCAATACTCGGAAAACTTCTTGATCATTATTATGGTATCTGGTGCAGTAGCAATCAGTGTTGTGCATTTGAATAGAAGGAAACATAGTGTATGTATTTTGAATTATAAAATAAAAAAGGAAACAAGAGTGCTACAAATATTTCATTTGATATGGTTTTATAGTAAACCAAAACGTATTTTTTATTTTATTTTTATTTTATTTTTATTTAAGCCAATAGAATACATCAAAACTACACCCCCAACTTGATAAAAAAAAACTGCTGAGATAAAAAAAAATCCTGACATATCCATTATGATCCGACTATCTGGACAATATGTTAATTGTCCTTATTTTTCCAGTCGAGGACAGGGCAAATGAATCTCTTTTCATAATTAATTTAATTTGGTCTTCACTTATATTCTTACTAAACAAAAATAATAATTTAATTAACATTTTTATATAAGAGACATCATATTGAATAAGGCCTCAAAAAAAACATTCCAAATAATTAGTATAAATATCAATAGCAATTATTCATAATAAAATCATCTTTTATCTACTATATTATTTTATGTGTTTGATTGTACTTCTTTAAGTACACTTCTTTATTATCAAGTATACTTATTTGTCTATTTTTATATTGTCTGGTCATTGATTTATCAGCTCAGTACAATCCAATAAAATTGTAGTGTTTGGTATTTGGTTGTGTGTAAATGATGTACAAAAAAAGATAAACGTATGTAAGAAGAGAAATTAAAAAAAAGAATTAAAGAATTGGATTTGATATCAGATAAATTAGAGTAATAAAATAGTCTCTTTATTATCAAATAGACCAGTTAAAGAAATTAAAAGGGAAACTAACACTAAAGTAAGAGTGTAAATAATTTGAATGATTAGAGAAATAGTTAAACTAAAAGAAAAAAAGTAAATAATACTAATTCTAAAGAGTTAACTATGGGAAGGAAAATGTTTACTAGAGTAAATAGTATAACGAAAGAGAAATTTACTATGGTAAATTTACTAAGGCATAAATAAAAGAAAAAATTATAACAAAATAATAAAATAAAAGAGGATGATTCATCTTTCACAAAGACTTGACAGAAAAATAAATAAAATAGAAGAACTTTTATAGAAGAGATCAGAGATAATAGACAGCATCTTAAAGAAAACTTGTATCAGAAAAATTCAACAGTTGTTTATTGATTGATTTTAAAGAGATATTTATACTACTTTATGGATAAAATATATGGCAAAAATAGGCTAGATAAAACTTGATGAAATAATTGTAAATAAAAATATAAAGAAAAATAGCAATATAAATATTTCATCATAAAAGAAGAAATAGATAAAGTTATAATATATAACTACAAGAAAAAAAAATATCAGAAAGATGTTATAAATAAAGGGAAAAACTATTCAGTTAACAATTTTGGTAAAGTAGTTTTTGAGAGGAAGTGTTACATTTAGTGTGCAGAAATAAAATAAAAAGAAAAGGGAGAAAACAATTTCAGGAAAAATAAAAGGGGAATGATTTTAATTTTCAGAAAATTGGTTTTTGGAAAAAGGTGATTTTGTGAAAATGGAAGAAAGAAATTAAGATTAAAATTAAAATTTTGAAGAAAAATTAAAAGAGGTTTTCAAAAGAAAGTGAACTTGGTAGAATTTGGTTTTTTGACTGAGACTTAGAATGTTGCTACATCATATGTCAATTGACGCATGTGGTGCTTGTGTTTGTGGTAAATGTTGACAGGTGATATCATTACAGTTTTTGAGATTTGAATAGGTTTGTAGATATGAAATAATCTCTCTTTTCCACAAGAGAGAAAAAGACAAACTCAAAAAAGAATGTAGAATTAAAGATAATAAAATCAATAAGAGAAAAATAAGAGAAAAACAGTACTATTGATTAATCTCGATAGACTTGACTCAATATACTCGGATAATCAAACAAGTAAAATATCAACAGCATTAAATATTAAGAGAACTTGTTGTCAGAAAATAAGACAAAAAAAATCAATGTTTCTTAAATGCAAGTATTGCAATATTTATAGTTTTGCAATTGACTTGTTGAATAATCAAATAAATAAAATTATAAAAAAATATATATAATAAAAGTTGTATAATTGACGATCTATTAAATGTGATTTGTTCTTTACTATCATTAAGTACAAATAAAATAATATAATTATTAAATCATAATAAGGAAGATAATTATGCTTGTAAGAATATATAATAAAAATAATATTAATTCCAAGTTGATTCATTCAGTTAAATATAGTGAGAAAATATGATATGATGTGTGGTTGCCTGAAGTTATTGTTGACAGGATGATGTCGTTTCGTTGTACTTATTGGTTGTTTGCTCTACGAATAGAAAAATTGCTTTCTATTCAATCTCGGTCGCCGTCAGAAAATCAAAAAAAAAAATCGTAAATCTTAGGGGACAGGGGGTTTTTGGATGATGGGGACAGGGTGTTACACAAGCTTATAGTGAGTAGTCCGGCAGATAATTAGAGGCGTGACTACTTTTAACTTGTCCGGCAGACATCCATCGTTTCTGTGTGTAACACCCTGTCCCCCAAAAACCAGTCACCCCCCTGTCCCCATCCAGTATAATCACTTGTCTTTATTCACTAAGAAAAATCATGCAAAAGTGGAAGAACATTTGTCCGTAACTTTTCATTTTCATTTTTATTTATTTTTAAAAAATTCATAACTCGTTCAAAAAAATAGATAGAAATATGAGAGTAAGATGGTTGGTTTCGTTGATTTTTTCTGCATAAAGTGAGTATTTGTTTGTTTTGTAATATTTTTTGAATCACGTTTAATGAGTGAATTACAAAAGTTCTGTACATTTTATTTGTGAAAGATTGAACAAAAAAACAACAATTTGAAAATATTAGTAAAAATCACTTGCAAGTGCTTTATATCAATAGAAAATAGTAAAAAAACGTTTCAGTAAAAGTTTTAGACCATATTATTATGTAGAAAAAATATTTATTAGCAAAAACAATCTATCTTGAATGGTTAAAAACGTGAAAAAAAGTGTATATTTTGCTTGTTTATTCAACCAAAACATAATAAATTAACTTCAAATTTTGGATATAGAGATGTACGTATTTTTTCAGCAATACGGCAAAATATCCAAGCTTTAGCGTTCGAATTAAGACAGAAATCTATCAAAAGCTATGCGTCGTTTCTGTTTTACATCTTTTATGGTAAAATTCACGTCTGTGATTGGATGAATATCTTAATCAGATTGCTTATAAATGCACAGACTTTGTACTCCAAAAAATAAAAGCCAATTATATAGTCTTCCAATTAGTTGGATGCCAATAATATTCGTATCTGGGTTTTACATGTAACATTAAAATTAAAGACAGACTGGGTGCAATTGTGTTTGTTAAAAAATTAAAGAAAAAATAGGAGTAAAGTATATTAAAAGATAGAAAGATAGATAAGTTATATATGTGTGAGGTCAATAATATCAGAAGAATTTACGGGAGAATTTGTAGGAGAGTTAGTGGCAGTAGTAGTAATTGTAGTAGTTGTAGTAGTGGAGGGTAAAAGATAAGACTTGTTCTTTGGGAACTGACCCCAATGATTCCAACTTGTGGAAAAGCAGTCAATGATACTACCTCTACGGATAGCATCAAAATACAGCGCATTTACCTCAGGCCAGGACCGATGTAAATGAGGCTTCACTTTAATTGTTGTCCAGTGGCACCCATGTACATGGTGCAAGACCATCGGCAATGGCTTTCTTTTGAGAGGCTTCCGATCATGGAGGGGAAGGAAAGTTACAGGCAAGACGCTCCGATCGTCCGAGTACACACAAACAGGCTCGTTATAGGTGTCAGCTATTATCTGAGCACAGTCTGGTGCAGAGAACCACATAGAGGAAGGGCAAGATGGGATATTTTCCCCAAGAGCAGGGTCAATCTCAGAGCCAAAGGCAATGACCTCTGTCACTTCAGCAACATCCATGCCAAAGTTGTGCTCGTAAAGTTTACCGTGGGTTGCCATCGTGGCCAACATCTTCTTCTTCACCAAAGGAAACTGATCCTCTCCACCCTCTTTCAGGTGTGCAAATACACGGAAACCGCACCAACCATCGGACTTGGGGTTAAACGTCAACGAAATGGCGGCTTGGTCGATTTGAGCAGGCAGAGCAAAGTCATGCACATTTTTGTTTTGTTTTTTTGGACTAGGCAAATCGTACCAGTAGTCGTCTTGGAGATGTTTAGGTCTTTTAATTCCAGAGGAATATTTTTCAGCTAAGAAGAAACAAAAAACAATGTAACATTTAGTATTTAATTTTAGTAAAATATCTTATCGGTTACCTTCTTCGAGAGGCTCTTGCTTTTTAGCGAAATTGGTTGTTTTAGCTATAGAGAAAACATGCAATGTGTGAGCAAACCATACAAAATATTTTGTGATTCATTTATAAGTTATCAAAAATTACCTTCTTCGAGAGGCTCTTGTTTTTCAGCGAATTGGGTTTCTTTTTTTATTTCTTTTATGACTAGAAATAGTAAGCATTAGATATTACATTGTAATTTCACAAAAAAAAACAATTATAAATTACTTTTTTTGAGAGGCTCTTCCTCTAAGAACTCCTTCATCACTTCTTTAAGTCCTTCTTTCAAAATACTTCTGATATCATTCTAAAGAAATAAAGAATAAATATGTATTAGATTGTGAAATCATGTTTGTGTATGTTGCATGCTTACTTTGTTCTTTTGCACAAGGAGATGTCTGTGCTTGTGACGGACAAAGTCCTTTGGGAGAGCAGTTTTCCTTTTGACGTGCTTAGGTCTTCCAGGAGCTTTGACCTCACTTGCCGAAGGAAATACAACATTTGGATGGTCAATTATTTCACCAGCATTGTCAACAAGTTCATCAACCATTGCCATAAGATTCTGGACTTGTTGATTCCCTTCACACTGACGAAACAATTGTTCAAGCTTTGTTATACATTTCACCCACGGGGCAGGCTTTTCAACGTCGATTTTCTGTAGAGAAACGTCACATTCCAGTTGCTTCAAACGTTCACCCAAAGAAGAAGACAGAATCCATCTTTCAGGAATGTCTGATAATAGCAACATACGATCTCTTGGCAGATCATGGCGACAAGGAAGACCAAACACCACTTTTACTCTGCAATTGCAAAGCTCACCAGGTACAACCTCTTCTAGAAGCTCAGCACAGATGGTGATCAAACCAATTCTGGAGACGTGGTGAATCAATCCACGGAGGCGAGGTTCATGGTATATTCTGGCATCTGTGATAGTTGCCTCATTCAACTCAAGGTCCTGATAGTCGCCCTCGAACTGAAGAAGATAGGAGCAAATTTGCTCAAATGAAGAGTTCAATGACTGAAGAGCCGAGATTTTTCTTTTCAGAGCATTATGGCCACTCTCGACACGTTGTGTTGTCACACAGTCAAAATGTTTTAATTGGCTAGTGAGGTAGCCAGCCCACTTTTCCTTGCACGGCATCCACTCATCTTCAAAGTACTTTTCCAGAGTTCTTTTTTCTACAACCTTCGTAGAATCATCATTATTGTCTTCCAGCTGCTCTTTACTTTGGAAATCTTTCCGAGATGACAGCGATTTGAAAAGCTCAAGATTTTCATCAAAGACATCGCGTTTATCTCCAAAGATCATTTTGTTGACTAAATGTGTGCACAACTCCTTTTCTTTTCCTGGCTTCATTGTTTTTTTTGCCATTTTGGCAATGTTGTTGATCATATGCCAACCACACAGAAGCTTCTTGGCCAAGGGGAACTCGGAATCAAGCGCATTCATCAATGCTTTACATTTGTCTGTAACAAATATAGGGGCTTTATCAACCCCCTCCAAAACAATTGCTTTCAGAGACTTCACAAACCAAACATAGCTCTTCTCTGTCTCATCGGCTACCCATGCAAAGACCACAGGAAAGCTCTTCAACCTTTCTCCACCTAGATTACTGACACCCTCTACGCAAACCAATGGCATCTTCGCGCAGTTTGTCTTGTATGTAGCATCCACAATAAAGACATCGGGGAAACGTCGAGCTCTCTTGATCATTATATCGTTTGTAAAAAATATATGAGTGAGTCTATTTCTCTCATTAAACTCGTAGAGAACGGAAAATCCCTTTGCTTCCATTGTTCTGATGAGCTCAGTAGCGCCATGGGCAGACTCCTCATCACCACGAGTAGCACTGTACTTGAGATTGTTGATATCGCTGATCCTCAGCTTTCTCATTCCTGTCACCTTGTCACTTGTTGCCTTCTGAACATCACGGGACTTGGCGTGATTCTCCAACATTGTCTTTGCAATAGTGGCATCTTCAGCAGTCAAAAGAGACATTCTTCCTTGGTGAGAAGAAGCCAAATTCTCAGGGGTGACAGGGTGGTTGTGGCAATGTTCGTTTTCCCCATAGGCGGGCAAAGGAAGATATCTTTCGCTCTTCTTCTTATAAGAAAATCTTAAGAGATAGGGGCATCCAGTAAGAGAAGAGTTGGGCGTCTTCTTTCTTTTCTCATCACTTATATTGCGCTTGTCACGATAAACACCAGCCTTTGAACAAGCAATGTGAAGAATAGGGAATTTTCCGTCCTTAATCTTAACGGTGAAGTTATTAGAAAGGGCGTAATCGTTTACGGCTTGAAGAACACTCTGCTTGTCAGGATAACCATTCTCGGGGAATGAGAGAGTTGTTTTAAGCGAGTACATCTTCTCAATAGGGGTATTGAAGTTGGTGTTCATATTTAATAAAAGAGCACTGTAGTTATATAAGTATTTTTATTGATTCATGTACGCAATGTACGCAATGTATGCAATGTATGCAATGTACATAACGTAAAAAAGGCATCATATCTTGTTATTTGGAAATATTATTTTTTATTCTTACAACTAAATGTTAATGACTTTAAGAAAGGGGGTGTTTTTATTTTTCCCGGGAAATTGGAATGATCTAAAGATGGGGACAGGGGTGTGCTTATAACGATGGAGCAAGGTGTGCTTATAAATGATGGGGACAAGGGTGTGCTTATAAAGAATGGGGACAGGGGGTTCTTCAAGACACTTTATAGCCGGGCCTCGGACTTGCAGTCACCTTAAATTGTGCGGTGCCGTTACCCCCCGTCCCCATAGCCAAAAACCCCCCGTCCCCTAAGATCGCTGAAAAAAAATAGAATATAATTTTCTAGAATTACAAAGAATTTTGCAACAGCACCTCACCGCCGGACAACCGAAATTTTTGATAATTGATCATTTTTACAATACCCCTTGTCACAATATGTACCGGTAACTTGGCCGAGTTGGTCTAAGGCGCCGCACTCAAGTTGCGGTCTCGCAAGAGGCGTGAGTTCGAATCTCACAGTTACCATTTTTGCGACGTTTTTGATCAGATTGTTCTTTTGTTATTCTCGATCTGGTATCTCTTTTCTAGCACTTGTAACTAAGTCGCAGAATCAATACCACTGGAGATCATCAAGTTTATGAATAGTTTTTTTAGATAAGAATAAAGATGATTTTTATTAAATATAATTCTTGAGTATTTATACAAAACAATTATTGTTTTCTGGCTAATAGAATGGCTACAATAATATGTCTTAGATGGTGATTATCCAGTAATATCTCTACAAGTATATTTCTCATCTCCAACATCTAAAACATAGACAAAAGACTAATTGGCAAAGTCAAGATCTTTTATCTTAAAAAGTCAACTATTACTGGTTGCTTGTAACTTCCAATTTTGGTTACCAATGTCAACTCTGACAACAAAGTCAAAAGGTCAAACCTACTGGGGATCAAGGACTATACGTAAAATCAAAAAGAAGATAAAAGATACTTTTTATTGATAGGAATTGAATTGTCTTATATAGTTTTCTAAACTAATACTGCACATTATCAGCAGTAGATATTATTTATATATAATTAAAGAAATAGTCATTATATTGTGATTGATGCTCAGTAAGATATTACTGTGCATAAAGAAGTACTGCGGTTAACTATCTTCAGATTTTACAGATTCATCAAAATAATGTCTAATACTTTGTCATTTTCGATCTGAGTTGTTCTTGCAATACTATAAGAGCATCTGCAGTGGTTACATTATCAAAAAACATTATATATAGTGTAGTTCAGTTATATTGGGGATTGAATACCAGTTAAAAACAGATTGACAAATTGTGGTTACATTATTAACGAATATTATAAATGTTACACAACCAGTTAATATTTTTTATTACTATTTTTTTTCTTTCTTCACTACCACTTTTTTTTACTTCTATACTTTTACATACACTAATAAAAATGAACAACAACCTTATTACTGCATTTTTTGAAGAAGAAGAACGTGATGAAGAGTTACGTACAACTGTCAGCAGCTTCCTATTGGACAAGCTTACCCACGACTACTCTGACTATGATATTGAAAAAATATCTCAAAGAAGTACTGTACTATGATCTTCCATGATAGACAGCAAGGCCACAATCAGCTGTTCAAGAATTATTTTAATGAAAGGACAACATATACTGACAAACAATTTTGTAGGCGTTTTAAAATAAACAGATCATTGCTTATGCGAGTTCTGAAGGCTGTCAATGACCATGATAGCTACTTTCAGCAAAAGTTAGATGCTGCTTGTAGACCTAGATTCTCTCCTATCTAGAAGGTAACCGTAGCTATCTGCCAGCTAGCATATGGACTTCCTGCCAACTCCATAGATGAATCGTTTAGAATGACAGAGTCAACTGCTTTTGAGTGTCTGAAGCATTTCTGTGCTGCAGTTGTATCTGTTTTTGGCAATGAGTACTTGAGAGCGCCATATGAAGAGGATGTAAAACAATTTTTTCAAGAAGGGGGATCAGGAGAATTTCCCAAAATGCTAGGATCCCTCAATTGCATACACTGAGAATGGAAGAACTGTCCCACTGCTTGGCATAGACAATATGTTAGAAAGGAGAAGACTCCTACCATTGTTTTGGAAGCTGTTGCTTCATATGATCTCTGGATTGGACATATTTTCTTTGGCTTGCCTGGATCATTAAATGACAGCAATGTCTTGGACTGGTCTCACCTTTTTGAGAATATAACTGATGGAAAAGGCCCCAAAGTTAACTTCACCATCAATGACAATACTTATAGCTAGGGATATTACTTGACAGATGACATATACCCAACCTATGCTGCTTTTGTTAAAAGCTTTAATGACCTTCAGTCCGCAAAGCACAAGGTATTTTCATATATATTATATTGTTACTTATTATATTTACTAAGCACTTATCTTCTTTCAGAACTTTGCAAAGGCACAAGAGACAGTCAGAAAGGATGTAGAGTGTGCATTTGGTATATTGCAGACATGTTTTGCAATAGTTGCTGGGCCAGCAAAAATGTGAAGTCAGGAAACTCTGCATGACATTATGACTACTTGCATAATCTTACACAATATTATTGTAGAAAATGATAGAGGAGAGAAAGAAAATATTGGTGAAGGTAATGGAGTAGAAAGAAAAGTTGTAGGTGAAAGATCTGAGGTGGATACTTCCTTGACTGGAACAATGTCCTTGATGCCCAGATCAGAGATAATGCTCCCAGATGGAAGCTTTGCAAGTTTCATGCAAAGGTTTATAGCAATTCAAAACTGTAAGCAGCACTTTCAGTTGAGACACGATCTTGTAGAAAGCCTGTGGCAAAGAAAAGGAGATTTCTTAATAGAATAAAATAAAAATTAAAATAAAATATATTTAATATTTTTGCTTTTGCTTTTTGCAAACTAATTGCCATCACAATCCTCTCCTTCGCTGCTAATATCAAAGAGATTGCTGCTCATACTGTCATCATTGCTGATAGGAGTATTTCCTACACCTCTTTCCTGAACCTCCTTCTTCAAGTCCAACATCATCTGACGGCTGACATGATCTGCAATCAAAGAAGTATCAATTAACAGAACCTTTATGTCTTGAGTCCTTTGAAGGATGGCGTTTTTCTCTCTTATAGCCATTGCCACAAAGTTAGACTCCATGGTCTTTTTTAGAAGCTTCTTGCACTCATCACCCTTTGCAATACTTTCTGAATGCAACGCAATCAGCCTCTCAATGTTTTCCCCCCACTTTCTTTTAGTTGCCTCTTGCTCTTTGGCAAACTTTCTTCCAGCTGGGCAAGCTGGACACTCCTCTTCGTCTATACTCTCACCAATTGGATTAGGGGCAGAGACTGTCACTTTGGAATGTCTTTCATTCTTTTTGGCTGGAGCACTTGGCTTCTATTTTGGGTGTCTAGCCAAGATTCTGAAGCAGTAACAAAGATTGAACTTTGTTTTTGTCTCAACGAAATACATCTCATCTGCCTTTGTCTTCTAAACTTTTATTTAACTACCATGGACAACATAATATGTATTATCTACATTTCAATAACTTATATTCCAGTCGTCATTGGTGCCAATGAAATTTGAGTGCACTATAGCCAACAAGATACTGATAAATTCTGTTGTCATAGACACTATCATTCTTTTTATTTCTGATATATCCTCTTCACAATGTCTATTCCGATTAGCAAATGTTAGTGAGTATTGTTGTATTCTTCTAAAACTTTGCTGACTTTTTTATAGGCCGTGTCACCAAAAACATATACTATAACTAAACATGGCCACCAATATAGTAATATTTTATAATTTTATTTATTTATTATATTTTATTTTAATATTTATCTAACAAAATATAACTTTTATTATATATGAACAACCCTCTCTCAAATATGTTCTGCATCTAGAACTTTCATCTTATGCTACTGTCATTGACATGGTAAGACTTGTTTTTCTTTTATTCTTTTTATATGTACTATAATATTATTACACTGTTTATTAATATAATACAATTGGTGTGGACAGACTAAAAGATCAAAAAAAGGGCAAGAAAAAGATAAAACAAGTCTATCTTGAACTTAGCCAATCAACTTTAATTATGACTGTCCACACCTTTTTTTAAAAAAAGTTCAAAATTAGTTCAAAATACATATTAGATAATGCTATGCTCATAATGCTGTCACCATCAGTAAGCATAGTCAATGCTTCATATTCAAATATATCAACATAAAGAAGTCTGTTTTGTTGTGGATAAAGACGAATTTGTTTATATTATTGAATTACAACTCTTCAGAATCTCTCCCTGCTTGAATCTGTATCTACATATCGTCAAAGCATATGTATACAAATGATATCCCCTGTCTCTAAAAGTCCTCTCAATCAGTACAAGAACTCTTAACAATTCTCATCAATAAAAATCATTCTTCTTGAGCTCAAACCTCTCTCCATCTCATAATCTAATTATCTACACCACTTTTTTTACAAACCCATTTATTACAGGTATAACATTTTAGCCAAAATAGCTTGTCAGTATATATTACTCTTATAAAGTTATAAATAATAATCAATACTCATCTACCTTCATTTTAACTCCATCCTTTTTGTCTTTTTTTTATAAAAAAAATATCTTCTTGTATCGCCTGTACCTTACATTAAACTATTGTAATAAAAGTATGTCCACCCCCAGTGCTATTGAGTTCGTTTCTCATCAGGAAGATGACAATCAGTTACATTCCTGGATGAAGCCAGATGGTGGTAAAGATGGGTTGTCATTGATTGATTGGCTGCAGTATTTTCTGCTGAAAGACAACGCAGACAATCTGAGGAAGTATCTTGGTGGCTTCAAGAACGGGAAGAAGGTCAAGGTCAGCAAGACCAGAGTGATCAACGACTGCTGCTAGTATTTTGACAAGCAAGGTGTGAAGTGCACCAGCTCTCAAATAAAAAGCAAGCTGACGTATTTGATAACCAAGCAATATCCTATTGCATTCAAAGCCTGGGAAGACAGCACAATGAGAATTAGTGAAGAAGAAATGTCTCAACATAAAAAAGATGAGCTTGAGGATATAAATATTGTTATGTATAAGTTAAAACAAACATCTAAATAATTTAAATTATTTTTTATAAGTATATCTTAATGATATATGCTCAAACTTCACGCAGATGAGAAAAGTACTTGGTGAAAGTAAGGCAAAGTCACCTGCTGTATGTAATACAACAACGCCCTTAGACTTAAACAAAACCCAAGACATGAGCAAGGGTGAAGACAGTGAAGACGGTGAAAATGATGGAGGTGACGAAGCCAGTAAGAGCAGCAAAAGCTGTAAAGACCAAGAAGAACAGGGAGCTGATGTCAGCAATGAGATCAGTTCTCAGAGAGAGGCCATTGTCCAAAGCAATAGTGAAAGCAGCACCTCCGAGCACTCTGATGCCAGTGCATACAGTAGCAAAAGATACCCTAAATTCTTTGGCAAGATTGTGAAGAACACAGCAAAAAGATCAGTCAAGAGCATAGAGGATATTGGGCATGGTATAAAAGAGTTCAATGATGCCCGGATATCGCTCTTAGAATCAAAGTATGAGGAAGAGCTCAAGAACCAGAAGGAGAAGCTGCAAAAAGAGCTTCAATGCAAGCAGTGGGTAAAAGGAGTGATCCTTATGACAAAAACATTTGACTGGTCTGAGAAGAAGACTAAGAATGAATTAGAAGAGATGTATAACCAATACCTCAATTATTAAATTGTATTTCTTCTATTTATATTATGCGTTTAATTTATATATATACAAATTCTCAGAACTAATGTTATTTCATTTAAAAAGTTTAAAGGCATGTAGACTATATAAAGATACTATCATTAAAGCAGACAAAATTGATCTTCTACTTACATCTTCAAAATAGTTTGATAATAAAATATTAAAGAAAGAGAAGAACATAAATAATGACGAAATATCTATTTAATTACAGCTGTCAAATGCCAAAAAGTGAGATCTATGTAATAGATATAAAAACTAATACTTCTGTTTTTTTAATGTATTTAGAATGATCAAAGTTTATTTTCTTTATTCAAGAAGATTTATTCTTCTCTTTTGACATAACAACACGTTGTGTCTGAATCCACTTTGTATTTCTGTCTATATTCTGGGATCCATCTACTACACCAGACTCCTCTGAATATCCTGTCTTCTGCAGGCATTCAACTTCAGCTTTCTCTCTATCTTCCCATCGATGCTTGGCTTCCTGAGACCATTTGTCGTCATCTTGACACATCAGAAAATTGTTCAAGGCTACGCAAACCCGAATCTATGCGTTAACCTTTACAACATCTTCCTTTCTTTTTATCCTTACAGGGATTGATTTGAGAGAGTAGAATCTCTCTTTCAAGATTCCAAATGCATGCTCAATTTTTACTCGCATGCTCGAGATCTTGGTGTTGAACTCTTGGTCTGCTAACGAGAGTTCACTGTTCCTTGGCTTCTTTTTGATTGGAATAATATAGTTTGTAGCCTTGTACCCCGCATCTGCCAACACATACTCGTCATCAGAAAAGAATTGCTCTGAGAATTTTCCAAGCTCACACTCAGACAAAGTACGCATATCATGCAAATTTCCAAAGAAACCAGTTGACATGTATTGGATTATGCGTCTATGATCACACACTGCGACACTGTTTACACAGTAAGCAGATCTGCAACCGAAAAACTGCTCTGGCTTCCACAATGGTGCTTTTGCCAGCTTAAATAAGCATCCGTCAAGAAATCCAACAAGGTTTGGAAATCCTAATGGATATTCATTTGCTCGTTTTATCTCTGCTTTCTCAGATTTGATTGGCCAATAAACGAACTTGTGCTCCAAAGAAAGAATTACTTTAAAGAATTTGATTGTTATATTCTTGATATAGCCCTCTATTTGTTTTTATTGTAGGAAACAGGTAAATAAATTTGCTTTTGTATATGTGAGCAAACAGTCATAGAATATTATCCTGAGTCACTTACTTCCTATTCCAGAACGTCTTGCCAAACAGCCACTTGACAAAGAATTACCATTTGATTCTAATCTGTCAAGAACAATAGAAATCTGTAGTCTTATATTGATCGAGTAAAATCCTGACAATTGTTGGTAAAGCTTGTGGTTTTTTACAAGATCATACAGCTTATAAAAAGAGCTCTTGCTCATTCAAAACTCTTCCAGAAAGCCACTTTCATCTAAGGCAAGCAGAAAATTCAATCTTTCTTTTTGAGTTACAAGTTTCTTGGTCTTGTTTTGCGCTTTGAGAAAATAGTGTCCTTTGCTGATTTTGTCTTGGGCCTTCATAACCATCAATTTCTCCTGTTGTAGCTTTAATTTACATATGCTTGCTAAATCTTTGTACGTGTCATGATCTTCCTCATAAGCAATGACATTAGAGTCAGACAACATCTTAATCATCTTCTTCAATGTGTGTTAAGTGATAGCTGCAGATGCATCCAAAGTTGATTTTGCAAGTATATTTATTAGAGTATGCGGCATTTTTTTTAAGATAATAAGTAAAAGAGTAATATATTTCTCACTTTTATATACGCTAGTATTTAATTATAGCAAGTATATATGCTTTAAATTGTTGTTTGCTATTTAAGTGTAATGCAACTAGAAGGGATGCATGATATTATTATGCAAGTAGTATCAGACAAAAACTGGCCAATCATAGCCATTGATTAATTTTGCCCTTTTTTTGCCCTTTTTTTGAACTTTTGATCTGTCCACACCAAATATTCTACAAGAGACTATATCGGCTCTTAACAGAGACTATCAAAGTTTACAAATACAACTGTTTGCTTTGGGTGTATAAATTAATTACTATATTACTCAATTTACCCAAACTAATTTTTCCAATCATTTTCATAGTCAAAGTAGTCATACTAGGTGCCATGTTCAGCATTCCTGATATTCTCTTGATTTTTCCACTTATATCTGATGTTTTTAATATAAGTATATTTTATATAATATATTTTTTAAAATATTTGATATTCTACGTACATAATTAACACCCTTATAATTTTAGAGAACAGGCATCTTCAAGCAAGCTACACATCACTGGTTTTTTTTGAGAGAAATAATATCTGCGTTGCATTGCTCAATTCAAATAGTATGAAAGATAATAGGGAAAGTGGTCCAAAATATATAATTGTATTGCTAGACTGTAAATCTAGAAGTATTCTTTTTTTCTAATAAACACAAAATAAACCAATAAGAGTTGCAATGCATATATGGGGGGGAAAAGTATTTTGCAGTTAATTGTATAAGAAGGAGTGTCTAGGATTGGCTCAAATTTTTGTTTTGAAGATTATAACCATGGAAAAGTTGGTATTTCAATGAAATAAAACATAGAAAAGTTGGTTATTCCATTAAATTTCATGCTTGTTTATTGTTCTTTTAATCTAAAACAAACATAAAGTATTATAAGAAATATAGTTTTAGATAAAATGTTTTGGTGTAATAGAGAAACTCTATATACAGAGAATGCTAATAAACTCTGCTTCTCATCTGCCCAAACTTTTCCTATGTTTGAAAGTTGATCTTTCTACTTAGTAGAAAGATGGCTTTATATCTTTGTGTAATTTTTCTGATCATATGAAAAAATCTGGTCTTTACACATACATTTTGACAGTTTTTAACAGAAGAATATCCGATTATTTTTCCAGTGAACAATGTTAATATATGTCATTTGGTGACTATTTGTCTTGTATGTAGCATCTATTACAATGATTTCTGGCATTCTTTTTGTTCTGTCAATGGCATCCTTATAGATGAAAAACACCATGTTTATTTTGTTTTTCTTATTATCACCAACATTGTACCAGACATAAAAGTTTAATTCTTGCAATACAGCACTACGGGAAAAAAAGTGGTCTTTTTGGTGGTCTTTTTGGTGGTATTTTAGGTGGTCTTTTGGGTGACAGTTTTGGTAAAACCAGCAAAAAGACCATCCCTATTTTTGGAAATATAATTAAATCTTCGTTGACTGATGGATGTTAGGTTTTATTCATATCCCAATATTTAAATTTATGTATTATTCTTCTCGTTCTATTGGTAGAAAGAAAATAAAAAAGAGCTTTCTTATTGGTATAGATAGAAAAAAAGAATCTTTGTATTGTCACTCATAAAATACTTTTGTTATACTGCTACTTTTAATTGGATAATATAAACTTTATTGCAGTATGCACATTGATAGTATTGGTCATTTAAACAAAAGCATTCTCTCAATTAGTTCTCATATATATATTCTGATTCATTCATAGTTTTAATTGGGCAAAAAAGTTTTATTTCATAGAAGATCATTATTTAAAAATGTTTTTATTGGTTGTTATAATAGAAATAATATTTTATGCATGAATCGTACTGGCTAAAATTCCTTCAGATTATTACATATTCTCACATTAATTACACAATTTATTGTACCTACCAGATATGAACTTACCAGAGTATTCTTGCTTCTTATGCCCTCTCCAGAGCTGGCTAACCCTTGCAATTGATGCCCAGTTTCTGTGGCATCTGGTAAAATCGATTCCATTGTCTCTGAGTATGATGGAATGATTGATACACAGCCTGTTTCTATCCTCTTGAGAAAGCAATGACCAGCCAGGGTTTGTTCCAAGATCCTGAACAGATGGAAGAGCTGCCAGTTGATCACATATGACTTTGGTACATGTGTTAACAATTCTCTTGGTTTCCTCGGTCAATTCTATTTTAAGATCGTCTGTTATCATCTTATATATATGCTTTAAAGTTATATTGTTGATTTTTGATACGGGTCTTGGAATGATGCCAGTAAGAGTCTATTATGTTTGACATTAATTGAAAGGACTTTAGTTGTTATAGTATTTGCTTACACTGGTAGAGATAACAATAGTTCTATCTGGAAATTCCCAATATTTAAATTCATTGTAAAAACTTGTCATTTGAAGTTGCATTGTATCTTGTTTATTTTCTAATGCTTCTTGACGGCCTAGCAATGCTTTTTGACTACTCTTTAGGGAAATAAGTGCAGCTTGTATTCCTTGAAGCAACTGAATCACTGTATTGTCTGTATTGCTCATAATTGTAAAAAAAAAATCAGTTACATGTTTGTTATAGAAAAAGAAAGAAAGAGAAAATTTTTTACCAGAAACTATTATTAGTTTCAAATCTTTAGCTTCAATTTTTTAGCTTCAAATTATTAGTTTCAAATTATCTGTACAAATCTATTGGTTACTCCTGAAGAAACATTGATCTAGTAACTTTACTGATGACATACAGATACTTCTTTAAGATCCCGAGCATATATTCAGAATGCATATAACATCATTGTCTTTATATAATTAAGTATAAAGCTATACATTCAGAAAGTAATTAATTCTATTCTTACTTATATAACAAAGTTTTTTTTTTACCTACCTCAAACATGTCCAAAATTACAAAAGCCCCTCATTACCAATGCCGTACTTGCAAGTCGACCTTTAATAACAGTCGAACATATAAAAGATGTCTCGAACGATGCATGACAAATAGGGCAGAATTACTTGCCAATGGCGAAGTTTCCCAAACTGTCTCTCTTCCTGATCAAAGCCAGTTTACATCAGCAATGGTTCCTAACTTGGCTTTTGGGTAAGCTTATCAAAAGCAAAAACACAAAACGATAGACAGTATATTAATTAGCTGTATACTTTGATAAACAAACAGAGAAAACATCAACACAAGCAGTAGTGAGGATATGGATATCATTGACAGTACTGAAGATGATGAGTCCATGGTGAGATACATAAATACATATATTATGCTAATCATACTTATTGTTGTTTATCTTACTATAGTACGATTTTGGAGAAGAATGCAAGAATGTCATTGACAAAATTGAAGGCACCACACCCTCGCTAGTCTTTGATTTTAGCCAGCCTCTTCCTGTTCCCAGCAACAATGATAAAAAGAATCTCGCATTCATGCAGTTGATCCAAGAGTTTGGAATTTCTTGTCGAGCCCACAAAAAGATTGTAGAACACTTTAACCAGATCCTTGATTGTTCTATTAATATTACATGCCAAGTATGCAGCCCACATCTTGGAAACAAACTTCTTGAGTACTTCTCGGGTATCAAAGCAGACGGATATGACATTTGCATCAGAGGTTGTATGCAGTTCAACAACGAGAATGATATCGCATGCGTAAAATGCGGTGAAGCAAGATACAAAAATGGCCAAACTAGTGAAAGTGACACCAGGGTTCCTGTGAGATCAATTGTACAGCTTCCTTTGACCAGACAACTTGCTTTGTGCTTGGCTGATGGCAAGACCAGAGCTGAAATACTCTATCGTCATAACCACCAATCCAGCCAAGATGGGCAGAAAGCAGATGTTTTCGATAAGCATGTATACCAATCCATGAAGCATCTATTTTCTGGTGAAAACGATATTGTAATTTCGTTGTCCATGGATAGGTTCAACCCACACAATGTACCTGGATCAGTAATCATTGTTCATGTAACTGTCTTGAACTTGAATCCGACGATCCGTTATGAGAAAAACTGGATGATCCAAATAGCAATGCTTCCTGGTTGCACTGGTCCCAGTGACATCTGGTCTTTTCTTGAGCCAACACTGAGAGATCTCCGTTTGCTCCAGACAGAAGGCATGGAAGTAAAGACACTGACAACAACGATCAGGGCAAAGGTACATGTCCTCATGGCCACTGGCAATATTCCGGCTCTGGCAAAGCTGGCATGCCATGTTGGCCACACGAGTAAGAATGGCTGTCATATTTGTCACATAGTGGGCCAAACTTCTAAACATGGCCAGTACTTCCACATGTTGCCTGGAACCCAGACGCGCTCACTGAAGAGTTTCAGAAACTACAATCTGGCAAGCAGTGCAGACAGAAAGGGGCTCAATGGTCAGTCACTGTTAGCCTCAATGAAAACATTCTCTGGCCCATTTTTTTTCACGTTATACGAGATGCATGGTCTGTGCCACGGAATTGGTAAACAGGTATGGGGACTTGTACGCAGAAAGTATGGAATCAAGCATCCTCTATGTCTTTCTCTTGCCACTCAAAGGGAGATTGGTGCTGCAATGGTAGCTGCAAAATCTACAATCTCTATATCGTTGCATGGTGCCTGGAGAGACGTGACAAAGAATGCCAGTTTCTTTAGAGCTGTGGATTGGGCAGACTTTTTACTCTTTGTTGTCCGCACGTTGGTTGCAGAGCATGTCCAAGACTCGGTTGCTCAAAAGGCATTACTTGGCCTGGTTTAAACATGCAATTTACTCATGAGCTGGGAGTTATCAGCAGAGAATCAAACCTTGATAAGAAGGTATGTTTAATGCCATATTTTATTTCATTTTTTATAGTAATTTACTTTTACCTTTTTTCTTAGTAATCTTGTAGAATGGAACTTATTCCTAGAGAGTCTTCTTTCTACAGCAGATATTGACATTGGCGTGTTCACAATTAACCAGTACATTATTCAGCATTATCCTCAGATGATTGATCTATATGGCCCACCAAGAGCATATAGCACATGATCTGTGGAAAGGGCCATTGGTGAGTACTTCAGATCCATCAAGAGTAGCTCCCAAGTCAGTGTCAATGCTGGAAACATCATGATCAGACTGGTGCAATCCTGGCATGTAGCGGAACTGACAACCATTGCAAACACAAAAACTCCACCAGCTAACCTTCTAGTTTACAGTGCATATACCAATAGGTAGCCTGTTACAGAAAGAGGTGATTCTGCCAATACTGAGTGTGAGATTGAGTTCTGGGGGCCTTTAAAGAATTTAACAATTTTCGATAGCTTTGAAGATAGATCTCATCTTTCATTGCTTCTTAAAACGTTTTATGATTTGAAGGGGAAGAATGTAGTATGCTTGAGCCTTCTATAAAGACACACCGCAAGGCCTATCTTAATGGTTGTGTTATTGACGCTGCATTCAACCAAAGTTCTACAAGAGAGGCATGTTACGTTCATGTGCAGCTATAAGTGGACATGAACTCCAGAAGATCCTGCTTTTACCGTCCAGGATATAAGCATTTCTTTGGAAAGGTGGTTATATTCTTCCAGCATATACACAACTCAAAGAGATGGCTACTAGCTCTCATAACCATATATAGTGTGCATTTGAAAAATGGATTGCCTATTACATCTGTAGTAAAGCTGAAAACTATAGTGATTCATACCAGTGACATTGTAGAGTTGGTTGGCTTGGTGCCATCAAATGTCAATGGTAGTCATTACATCATTTGGCCTAGCCTTAAACGTGGCCCAAAATTGACACTTGGTGCCTTAGGTTATATATAATTTGTTTTTTTTTCTTTTTGTAATAAATTTTTCTTTTTTTCAAATTGTCTTAACAAATTTTATTCAAGCAGCAGAAAGTTTAAATATTTTCTTTTTTTTATTTCTGACATCCAATATTTCTCAATTCCAATCTATATTTACCAAAAATGTAAGATTTTTAATTAGAATAGACATTTGTCCCTCCTAAGATTTAATTTTAAGCAATTCATTTGCTTTTTATTAACTATTTCAAAGAACAAAGATTTTCTTGTTTCAACTTGGATTTTTAGTGATTTTTTGATTATTATAGGCCAAAAATAAAGTCACAAATTCAAAAAAGACTATCTTTTTCCCATAGTGCAGTAATGAAACTAAACATTTCCTCTTCTTCTTCTGACTTTCTGAATTGTTGCTTAGTATTTTTAATATCTTGACAGATAATATTGGTGTACTCACTTCTCTTCAAGTTATTGAAGGAAGTGGATACATGATTGTTTTTCTTAAGGTATCAGACAACAAGAGTCACGGCTTCAGATTCAAGCTTTTAATATATGGCATATGCTTTGTGGTCTTTCACAATCTGATGATTGTGTTTTTTCTTGCAGGAGTGAACTATAATCTTTCTATCTTTCTTTTTTGAGGCATATACAAAACAAAAACAGTCACTCTTTTAGGTATTCTTTAAACATTATGTCTTCCACCCAGAAATAGGGGTTTCTTCATTGACAGAGACTTATGAAACAATATTTTGGTCTTTTCAGTACCTCTATATTCATCATAGTGCTTACAGATTATTTTTATACAGATGCTTGAGAAAAAATAAGTAGTGAATGCAATATTATGCTTAGCACCATATGCTTTGATGGCTTCACAAATAGCTATGGTTGAAGAAAATTCTCTTCCAACAAGAAATATTAAATTGAACTCAGGCAGGGCAGCATTGTATTTCTTTGAAAAATTCTCACTAATAATAACATGGTCATTGATATTGTTGATGCCGCTCATCTTAGAATGTCAAAAAAAATTAAGAGCTGATGTTATAGTATAAAAAGAGCAGTGATTTTATTGGCAAACTAAATAGCACTTTATATAGTTCCCCCTCCTCCTCTCTGCCCAAAATATGATCATTTGCCCAAACACGTGACTAGGTGATGTAATATGCTTCTAATCATCCTTCCAGACTGTTCTGCCAGACTGTTTGTAAGCTTCCTCTATAATTTTTCTAGAATTATAAGAAATTCTGCAACATCACTGAACTGTTAGACAGCCAAAATTTTAGAAAATGCTGATCATGATGATTACACCCTGTGTTAATATTGATATATGTGGTGCTTATATTTGTAGTAAATGTTAACAGGTGATGTTATCATGATTTTTGAGATTTGAATGGGTTTGTAGATGTGAAATAACCTCTCTTTTTCACAAGAGAGAAAAAGACAAACTCAAAAAAGAATGTAAAATTAAAGATAATAAAATCAATAAGAGAAAAATAAGAGAAAAACAGTACTATTAATCAATCTTGATAGACTTGACTCAATATACTCAGGTAATCAAACAAGTAAAATATCAATAGCATTAAATATTAAAAGAACTTGTTGTCAGAAAATAAGATGAAGAAAAATCAATATTTATTAAATGCAAGTATTGCAATATTTATAGTTTTGCAATTGACTTATTGAATAATTATATAAATAAAATTATAAAAAAATATAATAAAAGTTGTATAATTGACAATCTATTAAATGTGATTTGTTGTTTACTATTATTAAGTACAAATAAAATAAAATAATTATTAAGTCATAATCATGAAAATAATTATGCTTGTAAGAATATATAATAAAAATAATATTAATTCCAAGTTGATTTGTTCACTACGGCGGGATGAATGGCAGTTGGGCTGAAAGCAGGCACATAACTGCCATTTTTTTGGTCGAAACCCAATAAAATCTCCGCCGTTTGTTGTAAGATGGTAATGTTATTCGTAGCAATTTAAAAAAGTAACATGAAAACACTTTTTTTGTTGCTGTACAATATTTTCAATACTGTAAAAAATGTTTGTAAGTTGTAATGACTACTTTGAGTATTGAAATATATGTTTTATTGAATATCAAAGATGTCAACAATTATTAAGATTAATAATTTTTGGAATGTGTGAACGAAATGGTAACATAACTGCCATTTTTTTTATTTTTTAAACTATGTTCTTTTTTTTTAGATATTCTTTTTATCTTGATGAATTGGCAATTTGATTTTATTTAAATCGCGTAATGGCGTATAGAGCATATAGGGAATGAAGAGAAAAGCATAAGGTGTATAGAGAATAGAAAAAAAACCGGAGTATATAAAGAAGAAAAGAAAGATGGGGCATATAGAGATTAAAAAAAACATAAGAAATAGAGAAAATTAAAAAAAGATTATAAGATACAAGGATGATATAAAAAATATAAAAGATATAAGGATATAGAGCATATAGAAAAATAAGATAAAAATAAAAAGGATTACAGAATGGAAAGATTGCCTTTAGTAATGCACATGTTGTTGTTAAAGATATAATAGGGCGCGATTACATAAAACTGGTTTCCATTCGGTGGGTATTGGACCAGACCAACCTGATGACAAATGTCATTTACACTTACAGTGGTCCCTTGATAATTTCACGCCCCTTTAATTTCACGCTTCGATAATTTCAAGGCTCTGAAGACCCAACTCGAAAAATAGGGCTTAACTTTCACGATTCTCGTTAATTTCACTTTCACAAAATTTTTTGGCCTTGAATCCTTAAAGAAAAAAAAATTAGCCAATCAGACGAGAGCAATATAGTTATAGCTTGGTTTAAATTTTTTTAATTCTAGCTTTTCACGATTTTGTAATTGACATCAATGTCAAGTGCGTTAAGTTTTCATGTCAAACACTGGGTTATCAAGTTGTCATCTAGCTTACTTTTTTTAAAATTTTTTTTTTTCATTTTTTTTTTTAGAAATAAAATAAAACTATATGTGCTATATTTTGATTAAGTTTCATTTATTAATTGTTTAGTAAAGATTATTCACTTGAAAAATATAAATATAATTCTAATTTGTTTGTTATAAAAGTTTTTATTGTAGATTTTATTATTTCTATCTGTCATTACTATTTATTGTTATTTGCAATTGTTACTATTTACAAACATATTACGAAATCAAGCTTTGACTGTACTTGGCTGCTAACTTTTTTTTTCTATTTTTAAATGAAGAAAAATATATTTCTTATAGAAAATTGTTTTTATTTTATTTGAAAAAGAATAAATTTTAAAAAGACTTAAAGAAGCTGGTTACTTTAGTTTGCTTTGAGTTCGCGGTTTTCTGGAACTTGTTTCTAAGGCCTTCAACCTTACTAACGAAGTCTCTGTCAATATCCTCGTCTTCCAAGATATCCAAAAGCATGCAAACACACTCAAACTTTTCCAAAGCAGAATAAGTTCTCTTGAAAGGAACTGCTGATTCCACTTCAGCAATTTCTTCATTGCTGTTGTTGTTGGCTGCATTGTCGTCTGCGTCATACTCTTTCATGACAATGTCAGCGATCTCATTCTCATTGATCACTCTATGAGTGCATTGTCTCTCATAGAGTGGATCTGATTTGCTGGTCGGACAATCTTCCAGAGACAGAAGACCTGATCCAGCAATCTTGTCCAGGGTTTCTTGTAAACCCTCAACGAGAACCTTTTCAGCCAGACTTTGCTGAATCATAGCCTGGTTTACATCTATAAATTATATTTAGAATATTAAGAAAGTGGAATTGAAAGATTATACTACTATTATGACCAATAAATTATTTTACTACTACCTTCACTATCTTCGTCTTCAATAAAGCGAAAGATTGTTGCATTCCAGCAGTTCTCAATAGTCTTTGCCGAGACAGATTCCCAAGCCTCTCTTATCCATTTCATGGCCCACAATTGATCAATTTCAAAGATTTTCTCAATTGGCCCGATTTTATCTTGATTGCCATTTTGAATCATGCCAATATACTGATATGCCTTGGCATACTGTTTACGCTTGAAATAAGCCTTAAAAGCCCGAATGATACCACCATCCAATGGCTGAAGGTGGGAAGTGGTATTTGGTGGCAAAAAAAGAAGCTCGACGTTTGTAGGTGTATAATCAACTATATGACCAGAGAAATTGTCGAGAATCAAAAGAACTTTGCGCTTTTGAGCTTTCATGGCATGATCAAAGCGACGGAGGAAAACATGAAAGATCGATCTTGTCATCCAAGCATTGCTATTGTAATGATACATGGAGAATCCATGATCACTTGCTTCTTGCTTCTTGTTGTTCTTGTTGAAGCAGTTTGGTCTTCTTGCATGCCCAATCATCAGTACATCGGACCACTTGTCTGTTCCGTCCGCATTACACAAGAGACCTACAGTCAGGCGCTTCTTGTTATCTTTCCAACCAGAAAATTTCTGGTGAGAAATTGTTGTTCTTGGTGGGGCAGCATAAAAGAGTGCTGTTTCATCAAAGTTATATATGTCACGAGCACTATATCCCTCTATCTTCTCTTTGATGGCAGCCTTGTCAATCTGAAGCAATTCTATATCAGTAGAACCAGCCTCACCATGAATTCGATTCATTTTAATGCAATGACGCTTTCCAAACTTCTCCATCCAGCCTTGAGAAGCACTAAAGTTTTTAACGCCTATTCTTTCAGCGAAAATAGTAGCTTTAGTCTTAATCAATTCCCAAGTAATGGGAATCTGATTATTTTCAGCA